CAATTTTCGATCCCCCCCCCCCTCCCGAATGTGACCAACGATTAGCGAAAAGATTCACCGTCATGTATTTTCATTTATGTCAACCATCAACACCCCCCGGCACATTCACACGGCGTTCACTTTGTTTTCCCCCCTCCCGGCCCCATTCCCCCGCAGCTGGTCCATTAAGATATTTTAGTTGTTTTCTATTGAGGAGAGTTTTTCGAGACATGGTAGCTTTGAAGGCTCCTTGTATCTCATGCGAAGATATCGATGAAGGAAAACCAATTGAGGGATGAGTGGTCAAATATCGAGTTATATTTGGTGTGGCTACTTGTGGTTTGGTTTCTTTCTCTTCATCCCCAACCGACTTTACATTGATGAAGAATTCAGGATTGGGGATGAGGAAAGATTTGGCGAGGACCGGTTGCTTTAAAGCTCCAACTCGAAATGATAGGAATGAATGGATGAATTTGGGGATGGGAGGTAGATTCTTCGGTTTTTTTTTTCTTCAACGGGCAGATTTGGTTGATGGACAGTGCTATTTTCTGGGCAGCATGAGTTGAGGGCGATGAGATGACTCATGTGCATAGATAGGCTCTGGGATTTTCAGCCAGTCAAATAAAGGCCGTTCAATTATCTTGTTTTGTGGTTTGTGAGTTTCGTCTGTACTATATAATTCCGCCTCAAAGGTTGTAGAAGTTTTCTTGTCTGGTTATAATGGAGTGAAGGTTGATAGCGATTAATGTCCAGAATAACCGAACTCAAAAGGGAATGATTGTTAACGTGCTCGTATAGGTACTAAAAGAGTTCCAGTATGGTACAATTCCAACTTCAGTCTTCAGAGCGGAATACACTTCTTCTCCGCCTCTTCAGCCCTTTACCATTTGGGTCCAGCCATTCCTAGACTAGTCCCTCTTATAGCCGAACGGTATTCATCTCTTGTCTTTGGCCTTTTATCGCGCAGTAAGCGCTTTGGTGTTATTTCCCGCTAGAATGTGTTTTGAGGATGTCTGAATCACGTTTGATATCGTATTATTGTATCGTTGAAAGTGTTTCCTCCTAGCATTTTGGTACTTGATGATTTTGCATTTCTGGGCGTTTGATTCACTTACTCTTCCTACTTCCTGTCGCTTAAACCGTTGTATGCACATTTACGAAGATCATTGGGTAGTATCCGAATCACCCCTTCTTCTATTCGCTTGTCAGTTGGAAGTTATTCACTAACCAAGCGAGATATCTAATATATAAACTCAGATAACCTTCTCAACCCATTTCTTCCTCTCTCCTCCAAAGAAAAAAAACATCTCATCCCACACCCGAAATTTAGAGACCAAACATCATCACAATCATAATTATCAACATGGGACCCCCCCGTGCACCACCAGCCACGCCCCAAGAAACCTTCGAGGTAGACGCAACAGCAGCATGGCAAGCGCACCAAAGATCCACCCAAGACCGACCACCACCCCGTGCATCCTCTCGGCCCAGGGACCAAGTCTCACGAATGCCTTCTAGTATCGACAGGGGTAAGGAGAAGGGGAGAGGACGGTCTTCTTCGAGGCCGAGGGATCAGTATTCACAGATGGCATCGAGGGTAGATTGGAATCAAAACTCCGTCCTTCCCTCACAGATCGATAAACATAAACCCCCTTCTTCTTCGCGAGCAGGGAGTCAAAACCTACAATCCGTGCCTCACCACTCCCACACTCGAGGTGGGCAGTCCTCTCATCTGCCTCTACTAATCGACCGATACGCCTCCTCCGCGCGAAAACAAACATCCAATCTGCCTACGCAAATCGACAGTAAAGGGAAAAGTCCTTCCACAGAACGGTATGGAGAATCGATACTCCCACGGGTTGATACCTCACATTCTCACTCTTCGTCTTCACGTTTACCATCTCATCTCGATCGTTCCAAGATCGCCACGAACTCTGCTTGGAAATCACAGTACGATATCAAGATGGCGTCACGACAGACTCATTACCAGACTCTTGCGCCCAAGGAGAAGAAAGAACAAGACCAATGGGCCCAGAAAAAGCTACAAGACGGAAGCGCAGGCTTCTGCCCCATGGGCTTCGACTGGAAACGCGTCGAAGGCGGGTACCGGTGCATCCCACCCATGATGGTGCACCGAGGAGGCGGCTGGCATCTCGTGACCGACGAGTTGCTCGCCGAGGGCGGAGGGAGGTTCTATCATCTGAGCACCGACAAAAATGATCCGGATGATATGGGGACGGAGTGGTTGGGTCCGTTTACGAGCTTGGAGGATTATCTGGAGAAGGTGAAGGGGGTGATTACGAAGGATGGGTTTGCGTGGCGGTGGGCGGAGAATATGGGTGGGAATAGTACGACCCAGATGGGTGGGTCTTCGGCTGATCCTGGTTCTATGGGAGGTGCGCTTCCTGGGATGCCGTTTAGGAGAGGCTTGGGAGATGGTGGGCTTGGTGGACATCCTTTTGGAGGAAGTGGATTCCCTGGAGGGATGGGTGATGGTGGTGGAAGAATGGGAATGGGAGGCTTTGGAGGAAGCCGATTTCCTGGAGGGGGATTTGGTGGTAGCAGGTTTGGGGGAGGGAGAATTTAGGTAGGTAGCTTCTTACCTGGGGAAGCTTTCTTATACTTCAAGTTCCTTCATTAGACTGTAGATAGATAAGATAGACTGTAGAATGTAGATCCTCTTCTCTTACAATAGCCAGAAAACTCGCTTAGAAAGATAAAACAGATCTTTGAGGATCCGGATATCGAGATATATAAAAGGGTTAGAAGAATTCTTACTTTTATTATCCGCATTTTTGAACTCCGTGAAATGTGAGAATTTATGGTGTAGTTTCAACCAACCACCCATTTCACTTCTTAAATTGATGAACCTGATGTTCAACATCCCCCACCCTAGGAAGTTTATGTAAACTAATCCCCGCAAACGCCCCAATAAGCTCGACCTACCACAAAATTAGTACCATCTTCACTCATCTCCACCTAATCCCCAAAAGATTTCCACTTACACACTGTTGCACAGCCTCACAATCCTCTGCAGACACACCGATCCTTCTCGTGCCCCGTAAGTGCCATCCCGTCGAAAGCTCCAAGTTCTGGATCATCACCCCCGCAAGAACAACGAGCTCCGTATCCACCGGTCCCAGAATACTATGATCGGAAAGATACAGTCCATATGTGATCTCCCTTGATACCCAGTCGAAATCTTTGTGCGCGAGGAAGTGGTCGGTGGTATCGGTTAGATTGCCTTCGTAGATTGCGTTGAGCCAGGTTTCTCCTCTTTCGATGTTCGCTGGGCCGGCTTGCCATCCTTCTCTATATGCAAAAGTTGTTAGAACGGAAAGTAAGGAGAGACGGGGGTTAGGGGAAGAGAGGGATAGTTCAACTGACCGAGAAAATGAGAAATCTTGGTCCTCTGGCTTTTCGACTGCGGTTATTGAGATGAGTGCTGCGATACATTTGACCACTCCTTGAATACTCATGTTCTTCACCAAAGCCTCGCGTATACGACGGATCAATGCTTTTCGGGATTCCGAGGAAGCGAATTCGGGTTTGGAGATGAGGTAGGTGTAGAGTGTTCCGACGAGTTCTTGTTCGACGCCGACTAGACCGGAGAGCTGACATTTCTGTTAGTAGAGATATGATTGTGGAGGAGTGGAGGACATACAGCTACTAGGTACCATTTGTCATCGCCCAATGTTTTGGATGGGAACTTCGCTTCGATTTCTTTGAATAAGGCGATTGCTTCTTCTGGGGTGTGGTCTTTGGAGTTTGCTGGGAGAGACATGGTGGAGTGATTTCGGTAGAAAGGTTGGAATTTGAATTGGGATCTTGCGACGGAAGATAGAGGAAGTTGACGGCGATGGTGTTGTTTGTGAAAAGTTCGGACTGTGGTATTGGTATATATTGTTAGCGGGGTATTGTTTGATCCGATCTCGCTGTCACTTGTCCGTACCTGTTGACTGGTGAGTCAATCTTGCGTTTCGATCTTGTAATCTCTTCCCAAAGAGATTCGAAATTGAAGTACAAAATCCAGTATGAAGGGGAAGGAGTCCCTCTCCTGTCCTCAAGAGCATTGGTGGTAGAGAGAGGGAGAGCTTGAGCTTCAAAATCCCAACCTACGGAGCAGTTGAGTTTGAAAAGGTAACTGCGACCGTTTCTTGGCTACATATAAAGTATCACCCAATTGGTGTACAAGCAATGGAAGGTAACCGCTACTACCTAGGTAGTAGTACTCTGCATACTTACTGTACCTGGCACCTATATCGGAGCAAAAAACAATATGGAATACAGATGCAGCTTTATTTATAAGCTTCGTACCTTGTGAAGCTTCTGCGACTTCGCATTTCCAACAACAAACTTACCAAAACAGAGACAACAAGAATGATTTGGAGCTGCCAATGACTCTCTTGTGTGGTTATATGTCTCTCATAATGGGGACTTGTATTCAAGTACTCGATTGAGGGGATGGATGAGGTGAGGTCGCAACTTGATCACGTGTCGGAGAAACTCTCGGGATAACGTGGAGCGTGCGTCATCGTTGCCAGGCGTGCCAGGCTCTGGGCGGGGGAGGGGGTCAAGAGTTCAGAGTTCCACCAGTGGGGTCACCCAAAGCCCCGGCCCCGCGGTTAGCTTCATCTCTCCCCTCCACTCCCTTTGGCTTTTGACAGCTCCCGGTCGAGAATCCATCCTGCCATCGCAAACTTCTCTCGGTCAGCATACTCAATTACACTCCAAAATGGATCCTTTCGCCTCAGAATCGACGACATCTACGAACCCCTCCAATCCCCCCTTCTCCGCTTCCTCAGATCCCATCACAGCTATCACAGAAAGTCTTCCCCCAACGACCGACTATCTCACCTATCTTACCATTCTCGAATCCCATTTATCTCCCGAAATTTTACCCAAACTAAATGAGATTCTACAAGATGCCCACTTGACACAAAATATTGGCTGGGATTTGATTCATCTGCTACTTCCCATGCCAGGCGGAGAGAAATGCTTGGGAACAATCGCGAGGCTGGGGAATCCACGGGAAGTCGTTCTGAAGGTCACAGAGGCACTGCAGCTATTGAACTTGAGCCGGACGGAGGAAGACGAGGAGGAGCAGGAAGATGCGGATGAAGGGGATAGTCACAATCATGATCGGCCTGCAGAAACAAAAGAGGCGGAGAAGGATGTAGCGACGGAAAGTGTCGAGGCAGGAATAGGGAAGCCCATGAAGAAAGTTACGATTGATGTAGGAGAAGATCAGAAGGAGAAGGAAACACCATCAGAACCAACGCAGGTGGACAAATTCTGTATCCTGGTAAATGTACTTGCGACCATTCATCCCAGGATTAAGACGAAATACCCCTCGCGATTTCTCTCGACCTCCTTGATGGCGATTCTGGCAGCATTCCGTCCATCAAATCAGGCAACTCTTGCAGTCATTTCTTTTGTTCACGCGATATCAGGCAAGAAACGACCTGCTCTGCCCGAGCGAAAGTCTAGCATGAATGTTCCCGTGGTTCAGAATGGATCAGATTCACACCCATCCGCGCCAGATCCAGAAGCTCAAGATGAAGACCCCCGGGAAGCGGCAATACAGAAGAAGCTTCTGCAATCTTTTGTCACTCACGTACTAGAAGATTACATCAATACCAATCCACTGGAATGGTCAGCAAGACTTCAGGAACTATTCAGTCCAAAGAAAGTGGTTACAGGAAGAAAAAGCTTAGGCGAGTCGTTTCGAGAAGACCCCGCTCTTCAGACGAGAGACGCAATTGTTGGTCAACTAGTAGTATGTATTACGTTGTCGCTGTAGAGTATACAATCTAACATCTTTCAGGCTCTTGCGCGAGATCTTGGTTTGTCAGACTATTCTGAGCTCCTAGACGCAATTCACAAAACCGATGAACCTTCTTCTGAAGAGGATCCCGAAGAAAATTACCCCACATCACCCTCTGATATTCCTCTCTCCAAGGCTGGCTCCTTGTCTCTAATCACCTGTCTTATTTTCGCCTCAGTCCTATTTGAATCGAAAGCGGCCCTACCAAAACTTTCAATATTCCCAGATCACGCAAAGCTCATGAAGCAATTCATTGGAATTGAAGGTCTACCCACTATTGGAAACGAATCTCAGGGAGTGATAGATGCAGTACTAGCCATCGGTTTATGGTTAGAACACTACAACGAATTCGTTTCGGGTCCATTAGAAGATGAGGACTTTCTCCAACAACTCCAATCCCTATCTTTATTATCAGCCAACACCCCATCTCCCACTCTCCGTTATGCGGCTCACGCACTCACTGGCGCCATCCTCCACGCACATCCAGTCGATCGTTTACGATTGACATTCATCTGCGATACACTAGAACACTGTCCCTACGAAACACTCAAAGCCTCAGCCGTCTCCTGGCTAAGAGATGAGATCATCACCGCACAAGAACGCAAATCACAAAATGCATTCGCTACGACCGTCGCGCTTGCAGCTGCTCAACCATACCTTTTCCCTGACACCTCAGCGCTGATCACAGCAAACGACGAGGGATTAACGGAGGAGCTAGCGCAAAGTTTCAGTTTCCATATGGCAGTTGTCAATTTTCTTTTCTTCATTTCAAATGAGACGTATAAACATGTCGTACCTCCTGCGATGATGGCGGTCGTGGAGGAGATATACCTGGGACCCCTGAGGACGGCGCAGAAGAAGGCGTTGGGGATTGCGGAGAAGGCTGGGGATGGGAAGGGGGAAGGGGAAGGGGAGGGGGAGGGACATTTCTATGGACCAGTTTTTGAGCTGCGGATGTTGGGGGATCGGATTGAGCTTGCTAGTAAACAGGTTGATGCGTGAGGGGATGTTTGTGTGTTCGGGTATGATTTGATATGAGTATAAGTATGAGAAATGAGAAATGAGGAATGATACCCATGACTTTTATGATTGACGTGGTTTTTTGTTTGATTTTTGGGGGTGAAAAGGAGAGTGAGTATAGTAAGAGACCTGGTGAATACTATGTAGAAATTATCTTCGAACGGGGCTATATTCCCCAGAAGCCTCGTAATTATATAAATGCCTTGAAACGTGAGAACTATTATTTGATTTTACCCCTTGCTAATATACTTATACTACGAAAGTACTTATATAGATTAGGTATAGTAGGAAAGTTAAAGGGTTTAGTAGAAATTCTTTTTAGATTAGATTATAGCTACTCCAAAGAGTTTCCATAGATACTTTAAGATAGATAAGCACGAAATCTGCGAAGGAGGTTTGTAGGTAATGGTATAATAGCTTTTGTAAAGGTCACTCGATCAAACTTAATACGATCTCACACAGACAAGAGTGTGGAAACTCGAACGGAATGCCTAAATTTCTTGACTTGTAGGGAATAACCCGGAAATGTAGAACGACAGCAGTAGCTACAACGACCAAACTCAGGAAGGCAGAAAGTATCGACGTTCGGCAACTGGAATTCCATTCGATTCCAGAGGCCTCCTCTAGAAGGATTCTATTCCATTTAAGGATTTAGTAGAAGGATTCTATTCCAGAGGTATATATTCTATAGAATATATAGAATTTCCAGCTAGAATTTGTTATATGACCGTCGACTAATAGGAAGTCTCGAGGGCCCTATTTATATTAACAGTTAGATAACAAGTCATATTACGTGAATGTCCCCCTAACATAGGGCATGAGTATTGTGATTACTTCTAGAGTTGATTATAAAGGAACGTGTTAGGTACTATTATATCCTAGCTATTTACTTAACTTTCTAGGGCTATATAGCTCCTATAATCATATGTTTCAAATAGTCTGAAATTTCATAGATTCCATAGAATTTCTAGAGCCTACTCATAGAAGGAATCTTTCCATTTTATATAAGCTCCGGAAGGATTCTAGGTGGAATAGAATAGAATGATTCCATGGAATATGGTTCTATGTGCCGAACGTTGGAAAGTATTACAAAACAGATTGAACCTTGAATCCTCCATCTAATTACAACACAGCGATCATCTCTTGTCAATGATCATAGGCTTTCGCTTCCACATCAAAGCAGTTGAAGGAAACTCCGCAGCCGCAAACCCAATCATAATTTTCATTTGGAGGTTATAACCCTTGCCAAAGATCTGCCGTACCGCGTCTTTCGAGCTTTCAGGCAATGTTTCAATAACATTAGTAGTTTGAAGAAGACGGCTGTCCGTTCCTTCTGGAAGGATTTCTAGGAGATCCGAATGAATTACTCTGCTCATGGCACTCACCACGATTGAGAGACCTAGAATACCGCCCAGGACGCGAAACTGTGTCATTGCGGAGGTTCCAACAGCTATCAGTTATCGATTAGACTAATTCTCCACCTAGGTACTGAAGTTGTACGTACCTTGATCTCGCCTTATTGTGGCATTGTTAACTAACAGAATCAATGGCGCGTTGCACAATCCAACACCGAGTCCCGTGACAACTTGCCAGGTATATTGAGATGGTGCGATTGCCAAGGTTGTTGGGGCTCGCGATAAGACGACAAGTCCAATAACTTGTAGAGTATTTCCTAGCAATATGTGATAGATGGGAGGTATGTTTGTTCGACCGATCACAGCCGTTGAAATGGCAGAGCCTGCCGGTGCTAGGAGACCGAAGGCTAGTAAACGAACTCCTGCAGCCATAGACGAGTCCCCGTTCACCGTTTGAAATCGTTGGGCAAGCTGGATTGTTAGGACTGTCAAAACTGTTCCAGCAAAAGAGACATTTCTTGCCTCGTCAGTAAAGATTCCGGGGCGCGAGGCGATTACACTCACAAAATCATTCCCATGTAAACTCGACTTTGAAACAGACGCCAGGGGAATACGGGTTCTGGGTATGTCCTTTTTTCGGTTATATACCATTGCCATACAACAAAGCTAATCCAAAAGACGACGGAGAATACGATCAGAGTTAGAACAGTGCCGCCAGAAGATGAGGATCCTTCTGCTGCTTGTTGTAGCGCTGTAACTATGAACATGCAAGCACCGAGAAGCAGAACACAGCCGAGAACATCGACTCGGCGTAGGGATGATGGAGAGAAAACGCTTCTGAGACCATCCGGCGTCAAGCTTGACGAATGTTGACCAGGCATTCTTGCTGGTAATAAAACAACGAAGAGAATGAAGCAGAGAATTCCCACGGGTATACTAGCTATCGTTAGATTGAACTAGTCAGGTAGGGTCTGATTCGCATTACTGACTTGATTAGAAAAATCCATCTCCATGTAGTATGACCACTGATACCCACCGCCCATTAAAGGACCAAAGGTGCCAGAGAAAGTAAACACTATAGCCACAAAAGAAGTGTACAGCGGTAACTTTCTAGGCGGCACCATCTCGAAGAATACTACAATAATAATTGAAAAGACGCCGGAGCCACCGACACTTTGAAAGGCTCTAAATATAATACTTGAATCTGTCAGTATGCCTATTCAGAGTAAAAAGGTGGTTTACAAACAGTTGCACAAGTGTCTGAGCACCCCCACAAGCCCCAGAGAATACAATAAAGGTGAAGAGCGAGACAGGAATTAATGTCTTCCTTCCGAATATATCGCTGAGTTTGGCCCAGATGATGACCAAGCCTTACAAAAGTGGTCAGATATACATCTCATATAGCGGAGGAATGAGATAAATACCACTGTATGTGAGAAGAAACCCAGTGAAGACCCATGAGCTTTTACCGTACCCAGAAAGCTCATTTGTGATAGCGATTATAGAAGTACTGAAGATGGACGATTCCATCTGCACTATAAAGAGTGCCAGGCATAATCTAGTATAGCCAGCTCAGTTATCAATCAACTGCGCTTTTGGGGTAAGATACTTACCCAAAGGTGAGAATATGGAACTTCCATCCTGACATATACGCGCTATCAGGCAGTATATCAATTGCAGTATCATCCGACTCGATCTTCTGCTCGAACGCCTGTTCGCCGCTCGAAGCTTCGGGAGTATGATCAAAACTATTTCCGTTAATTGCAGACATGTCCAAAGTCTACTGAAGCCGAAACTCGTTGTATTCCAAATTCCTCCACAAATTCCGGCTTCTGGCATGTTCTACCAACAGCCGGCCAACAATACGGAGAAACTCGGGCTGTTTCTATCATACAGGCCATTAACCGATAGGAACAAGTAGACCAACGTCGATCGCACGCCTTGACGGCCTAATTCCTGTCCGAGATTTCTCCCTTCTTCTGTTACCAACGAACGCATTTCAAATGAACGGCATGATTACAAAATAAATCCACGAGCGTTCACAAAGACCTGTTACTCTCCCAAAGGTGGAACATCTCTAGTGGTCCTAATTATTCTGCAAGACTCGATAAATCAATTCATTCCAGAGGATTCGAATAACAGAGCACCCCTCTTTCTGTTGTGAATAGGATTATGGCGGTTACCATTGGTCAGAGTGGACTGCAACTACGGCCTCGTATTCCGTCATCCCCTGATGCCCCATTCAGTCCCCTGCACCAACAATCACCAACAACCTGGATTTACCAACCATTTATGATCACGTTCAAGTCGTGATCGTTGAAATGTGCAACAAAATACCGCGCTCGTCAGGAGGAATATAGATAAGTATAGATAGTTCTTTCTAATTTACTCGAAGAGTATGGTGGTGCGAAAATATCGAAGGGTAGATTTCCCATGTAAACAAGCCCACCCGCTTAATTTCTACATCACGTGACCTGTTTTCAATAACCCCATCCTGGATCGAAGTTGATCATTTCAGGCGTCGCACCAGGCTTAATAGATCCATTACTTAGTAACCGTATACAGTTACTTAAGAGTTCTTGAGTAATATCTCCACAAGACTTAGCGACATGATGAAGGTCGACTGCATATATGGAAACTATTTTGACCCAGACATAGGAAGGCCTAAATTGGATTTGATATGAATCTTTCTTAAAAGGCGTTTCTATGATTTTGGCTCAAGTAATCCCATAAGAGTGAGATAATCGGAAGAAATTGTCTCCATAGCATGGGAATGGTATGTAACACCTGTCTTCAGTTTGACAGCAAAAGTCCCATCTTCATCAAGCTTGTCTTTCAAGGTATCGATGGCAGTGTTCGTCGCCTGATATTGTCACATTCAAGGTACTAATGATGCAGGCAATTGGTAAGTTCAGATGTGCTCCTCAATCTCCAAGTTTCTGCTGGAGATATCCGGAAACCTCTTCCCCAGCAATATTGACGAGAATCATCGCCCCGGAACAGCCGTAGTAGCAGCCCATCTACCAGCCAGTAGACCCCTGTGATAAGCAACTGTAGAAAACGATTCAATTGACAATGCTCCAATTGTATACCTACCATATTTAGCTTGGAAGATGATAAGAAATATGGAGGAAAGACCTACGCTGCCGCGATTTCCCCGGGAACTATGTCCTACGACGGCTGATGGAGTAATGCCCACTGCTTTCGATAACTCTACAAGTGTGATCTGTAAAGCTGTATAAAGTGCTTGACTATATTCAAGTCGCAAGATATTATGAGCTTCTTTGAGCTCACCCCACACTTTGTGATTAGACTCAAATGATCTGATGAGTTTGCTGTGATAAGGACCTTACCTATTGGCGACCAGGTGCAACCCAATTCCGCAAAGATTTCGTTGGGCTTTGCGAGAATTGCCTTAAATATAGGAAATTGCATTACACCATGCCTCATGCTCGCATACTGTGCTCCCTGGCTGGTAAAAATGAAAATGATTCCAGTTTGGTTGGTGGTGCGACCTGGCTTGGTCACACTAAGTTCATCCTCTGATGTTGGAGCAGCCAAAGCAAAGGATTTCCAGAGCATGTCTCTTCGGGCAGACAGAGTCTAGACGAGCCGGTCAGTTTCCTCTTCCTCGCCCAAAACTTTATCTCGATAGTACGATTTATAGCTCTCGATCTTTCTTGTCAATGATGCTTCGTCTGCAGCAGAAAATACCAGGGATTTGAGACATTCCCATGGCTCTTTCTAAAAGTGCCGCTGTGGCTGCCTCGTTAATCGTAGATCATACACGATACACGTCTGCAGGAGGGTTCTCCCCATTCAATTTCAAGTGCGCTATTTTCTTCTGTTCAGCAAATCTACTGCGTGCTTCGGAATCTCAAAAAGACAAATTGAGAAAGCTCGACTCAGACATCGATGGTAGACTCATCACGATTGCCACTGCATATATGGAAACCGGAAGATGACGTCCATCCAGGGGTTGGGATGACCCTAGCAAAGTTGTGTGCGAGTGATGTGATGGAGGAGAATGTACATGGACTTGGACACACCATTCCCAGTGCTCAATCCAACAAAGGTGTGCCAGAGGCTGCAAAAGCGATTCGCAACACCCTTAAAAGAGCCATGGAGAAGAATCGTGAAGAGAATCTCGGGGTATAACTTTTTTTGCTGTGTTGCGGTGAACCGTGTCATTGGATGAACGTTCTTTTAACTCAATAGTATCATGAATGCATGTGAAACCAACTTATATATAGTAATTTGAGCTAATTGCTAGTTGTAGCTTTTGCCAAAATTTCCATTTTCCTGATTCTACTTGTCAATTATAAAGTACTGAAAGAATGACAATAAATAGCTTGATTTGGTTCATCCTGTAGATAGTCTCACAATATAGGATAACCTGACAAATCGGGAAGTCTAGATTTTAGCAAATTAAACCCTGATTGGTTTCTTCTGCCACAATAGCAACGTTGCCGGAATTTGGGCAGCTGCAAACGCGCAAAGAATAATCATCTGAAGATTGTAACCATGTGCCAGAATTCCTCTGGCCTCTTCCCTAAGATCCGTCGGTAAGTGAGTTAAAAGCTCCCCTGTAGGAACATTTGAACTTCCGTAACCCAATGGACCCAAAAGCTCTCCAAGTCTTGGCCGAGTATAATTGTTGAATACTGAGGTCGTAATGGCAAGTACAATTGCTCCACCCATAGGACGCAGTTGAGATACAGCACCCATACCCACAGCTATTTAAGTTAGCCTTTTTTGTAAGGTTTGATTGATTGGGAGTATTGCTGCCGTTCACTTACCTTTATCCCTGAACTCGACCACAAATGGGACGATCAGTACGAGGGTGGATATATTTATTCCACATCCAAAGCCAGCTATAACTTGGTAACCATTCATTCTTGGTGGGATATGACTTGTCTCCGGAAGCGTCGACAGGAGGGCAAAGCCGAGAGTTTGGAGGCAGGCGGAATTTAGAAGTGCAAATATCACTGGTACCTTTAAATTTCCGCAGAGGGTTGAAGCCACCACTGACCCTATGGGAGCTGAGATGGTAAATGGTATCAACCTAATTCCAGCTGATAAAGCAGAAGTTCCGTGAACAAGCTGAAACTTCTGCGGAAGTTGGAAAATCCCTATGAACCATGGTCCACCGAGGAATAAGGAGTTTCTGCGGAGAGAAGGTTAGAAAGATAAAGCCCGTTGTGAGATTCCACTTACAAAAGCAATCTAATCACAACGCGATTTTTCATGAATCGCCATGGCAAGATTGGCTCCACTGTTTTGCTTTGCGCGGTAACTCTTCGCTCCCATGCGAGCAGAGCAATCCATAAGCATCCAGACATGGTCAATAAGGTAATCACATACGCAGACTTCCAAGGGAATCGCGACTCGGCTTCTTCAAAGCCAGCAGTGAGTGACAATGTTGCCAATAATAATAGAACAGCTCCAATTATATCCAACCTCGAACGGTTTTCTTTCCCAATCAATTTCTTGAAAGTTAGCTGCGGGCGGTTCCTTTGTCCATGATATGGAAAATTCTTCGGAATCGCGAAGATTGTGAATAAAAAGGCGGGAACTGCAGCAGGAACACTATATTGAGTTAGTAATTGTCAGATTCGAATGGTGCTATGAGTCTACTTTATCAGAAAGACCCAACGCGAGCTCGTATTACCACTAATAGCTCCGCCTAAAATTGGCCCACACAAGAGTGAAACACCATATATACTGCTTATGTTTGCGGTATACTTGGCTAGTTTTTCTGGCGGTCCAAGTTCAGTTATCATTGGCATTGCCAACCCAAAGCAACCGCCTCCGCCAACGCCTTGAAAAGCACGGAATATGATACTAGATGAATGCCAGTGATCAGTATGATTAGAGAAGTTTTGAGACCAATAGTTGTGTCAATGTCTGTGCGGAACCGCATGCAGCGGAGAAGACGATAAAAAAGGCAAGGGATGTCGCCAGCATAGCTCTTCTCCCAAATATATCGCTCAATTTGGAGAAGATTACTAGCACGCCTACGGTAACGCACTTCTGTTTCAGTATAATTCTCTCAGGTGATTTTCTGCACCAAATGATTTTTTGGGGGAGCTTATTCGTACCAACATATCCAAGAAGGTAGTTTGAAATGAGCCAGCCTACATTCTCAAACCCTCCCAATCGTTGGTGATGGCGACTAAGGATGTAGTGACAATTGGAATCTCAAAATTGGTCAAGAATAGTGATGATGCGATTCTATTCCATAGTTAGGAAACCTGCGATCATATCCTTTTTGCTAAAGACTCACGCGACAACGACAAGCCAAAATCGTACTCCTGTCAGGTAGTTGATATTTTCCGGACCCTGCTGGCAACCTAGCGATTCTGGTATGCTTCCAATGGTAAAATCGGATCCTTCGCTCCGACTATGTGTATCTGCGGATATGCCCTGCAACTCTTCATCCATTTTGGTCGATCGCTCTGATAATTTTGATGCTGGTGGCGTCTGACAGACTTCTCTCATGCGTGCAAGATCGTATTCAGATAGAGATTATCGGTGTTGGTCAATTGTTGGTTCCATTTTCCGGACCGACATACATGTAACATACATGTAACAATGGTAGGCCGCATGAACCTCATCCGTAGGCCGCAGCATTCTCTGGAATTTATATTGTCTGCTTCGCTGAAACGTTTGTTCCAGGTAGTGCATTCTGGAGGTACCCAAACGGCCGTGTTTCCGTGGCGCTCATCTCAAAGTCCAAACTAAATGGAAATGCATGTCAGAGTTAAACCCTCCCATTGCTGACGAAGGTTCAAATATAGATTATGATTGGGTTTGCGGCTGCGGAGCGTCCTGGCGCTGCTTTGATGTAGATGAAGAAGCCGGTTCTGATTGACAAGAGGTAAATTACTCTCACAAACGAGATAGTAAAATATAGAAATATAGAGCGGAGCCAAAATTCTAGATTGCTAGCATTACAGATGCGTTGGTTGTAGTTTTGGTTGAATGTAAGGGTTATAATATCCAATAAATCAACAAAACCTACAGTATCTCGCCCTGCGAATAAGAATGGCTATATTTACATACTACTTGGCAACAGAATTACTGACAACATATTCACTCCCTGGATCAACAACCACTGCCTCCGATCTGATACTATACTCTTTCCGAACCATAATGCCACTCAACGCCCCCCACGTTTCCGTTTCCTTTTCCTTTGTCTTCGCCTTCCCTTTGACCCTCGGCCTTCCTCTGTCTTCTTCCAAATCAGTGCTTTCCCTAAAACAAGTAGACATCGCCGGATTATGTCCCGAGAAGTCGGATGGCCACCCACTGCCGTCACCTTCTCCAAGGCGGTTGAATTTGCCATTATCCGAGAGTCTAATAGTAATTGCTCTTTCAGGTCTCATGTCTCTTGGCGTGTGTTTGGAATTGTTTCTTCCAGCTCCCTTAAAACCCCCCCAGATCCTTTGCCGTAAACTATGGAACGTCGGACCGGGACTGATATCTCGAAGCGTGGCGACCAAGAGGGGACGGAGTGATGGTAGACATGCGGCAATAAGATAGACGCCCGGCTCGATACTAGCCCAAAGAATAACATCTATCCCGACCCAGGATATGTCGATCGTGTCAGCGTCGTGGCTCACTAGATTACGTTGGAATTAGCATACTGGTTATTATATTTTCAGGAATGCTTGGGAGTAAAAGTTCACTGAAGCATAGACTAGACTTCGAACTTTGCTCTAACCGTCAAAGGCAAAGGTTTATGGCTTAGATAGATAGGGTACCTACGAGCTCCAAGAAATATGGCAAAACGTGTTATAGCCGTTATGATGCCTCTATGTATCCTTCCAGTCAGTATTGAATACCTACCCCCTACCGGCCACCTAGCTAGCCAAAGGCTGATTTCGACTGCTATGTCAGGCATAAGGAAGAGAGAAGGATACGTACATGCTTCCAGCTAGAAAAGTCGCCGTCAGTCCCAACTTTTGGCCTATGCTTGTTTGTAATTTCCAGATCATCGGCAGCGGCAGGATAATGATCATCATATCTGCAGCAATACTGGGAAGTACTAGCCAAATATACGACTTGAAAGAATTCAAGCAGTGGCCCTTCACCCATGGATGCCATTGTTTCTCGAATGGTGTACATACCGAGAGTTGCAGAATGAAGTGAGCAAGCCAATGTGCAGTTAGGAAAGCTGCTATGAAGTAGATTGCGTGGCGATAGGGTTTTGGCTTGAAAACTCGGTGGTACAGACATAGAATGCAGAATTTGGGTAGTGTTACTGCGGCAGAATTCAGGAATGTAAGCGCCATCTGAAACTTGAGGAACTGCTCTGTTTGATGGCGAGTGAGCAATTGAATATGTCTTCCCAATTGGGCATATTTAATGAACACTATCAGCGTGTATTTATCAGCTTTTGTATCAGCCAATATATTCCACTTTAGGCGAGGAACATACCGAAGCAAAAAATTAAATGAGAAAAGGTTGTCAGAAACGCCGGAACCATCAACCATAAATCGAGGTTTGACTCCGTCTTGAATCTCAATCTTGAATAGTAAAAGAGTGCCACGAACAATACTTCCAGTGCTGCTAGCGTAGAAACTACCTTTACCAGTCTTCCACTATCATCTTGAAGCAAGAAATCAAGGTATTCTGGCGTGGTGATATTGCTAGCGAGCCGAGATGGGATTTTCCCAGACGCTATGGCTGCCTCAAGAGCGTGGTCCATGGTGCTCGTTAACAGCAAAAACCATATTACTGAGCCGAATAAGTCTCACCGGCGTGAGCAGTTGTAGGAGTGCAAAAGAAATACAATATCGGTTAAGCAAGAGACGCGAACCCAAATATCAGATGAGCCAAATTATCACGTAAGAGGGTATTTCTTTGGAAAGAAGACTGACGGACTCCTCTGTTGACTCATCGGTAATGCTGCTGTCATGCAAATCCTTCAATGCAACAGAATCAGGGTTAAGCTGACATAATCCCTATCTTCACCAACTTATCCAGGAACATAATTTGATGAGGCCAAGGGTTTGTTGGAGAGAAAACTATTCGGCCTATCATATCATCTAACTGTAGAAAGGTGATAGCCTTATGGAGGTACATAAATTGATCTAACAGAGAACTATGTGACGTGATAGTTGGAGTTGGAATTTCTATGCATGCAATATGTTGGTCCCATAGATTGTGCTCGCAACGCTCGCAAAGCTGGCCAGTCACAGTCTACAGCCTTGCATAGTCTGGAAGCAGCGCCACGTCCATGCAGACGCTCCAAGGATTAAATTCTTCCTTGTATTTAACCAATGAACAAAATGAAACGTTGAACACGATTACGAAGTGGGCTGAACCTCGTTCTGATCGCGACAAGCAGCACCATCCCGCCACTAGAGTGCGCTCCTCAGTTTCTGAGATATTTATATCAATTGGACCTTGGAGCATTGTACCCGTCAGCACTTTGCGAGCAATACTTTGCTATCAATACTACCGTGGGTCATCTACCTGCGAGTAAAACTCCAAACATAGGATTTATACTGTACATTCATCCACCCAAGCATCTAAACTGCACGGTGGTCGAAATCATCAAGAAACAGTAGAGATTACTGAAGGATATATATATAGATTTTGTACTTGAATACAGGGCGGGTGAGCTATTGTATTTCAAATAGCAAGATTTGCTCAAAAAGGGGTGCCTTCTCGATTGGGCGAAAAACTTTCCTCTTCCAGAAGGTGTTGCTGCAAGCGAGGGCATACGGTAGGATGATAGGGGCTGTGCCTCGCTGCGAGTGCCCACCCATAACCAACGTGTGCCGTGCCAACCGAATGCGCGCCCCCATCCAATCACAATAGTGCATATCTCACATATTGTTTTTCATGTCCACCAACAGCATAGCATTTGCTGCATCGTGATTCGCTCTCGGGAAAATCCTAAGATACGATGTGTAAGATGTCATATTGTGGTGCGAAGAAAACGACGGCTGAGCCTGGGGTAGTATCAAATCCTGCTGACTTGAATGAGAACAACCTATGCCTTACTGAATTCAGCACCAGAATTTCATCACCTGCCGCAAAACCGAATTTTATGGGTTTTTGCTTGGCCAGTATATCTTACGCCACAGCAACGACTTACATCTTTCTCATGACCAACAACACCATGAAAGAAAATGAGGTGAAGACTAACTCATCGGATGGAACACCCAAAGAGGATGAAGCATCCGATGCTGTTTCGACACAATACTTGTCAGGAGTCAGGCTGTATATCATGACCTTTGGGTAAGCCAGCAGAACAAACAACGATATATGCTTTGAGAAATCTACTCACATCATACAAGGCTATGTCTAGGAGTTTACCTCGTACATGTCGAGATCACAATCTTGTGTACATCACTATTGGCGATAACCAACAGCCTCGATGGTTTTGCACAAGCAGGATGGATAATCTCAGGGTATCTCATCACGTATACAGGTTGGTCATGTACACGCACGCAAATAACCTTACTGAATCACATAGGCTTCATTGTCATTTGGTCCAAATTGAGTGATGTCGTGGGCCGGAAAACCTGCGTTATGACTACGATGGCGATTTTCGTCCTCTTTTCGGCCGGTTGTGGTGCAGCACAAAATATCACGCAGCTGTAGGGAAATTCAAATTATGGATAGGACTGTATGATTCCTAAATACTGAAAGATTTCTCTAGTATTATTTGTCGAGTCTTTCAGGGAGTCGGAGCCGCTGGCGGCTTTTCTCTGACGATGACCGTCTGCTACGAAATGGTACCGAAAAACAAATACCCCTTGTACCAAGCGATTATGGCTGCTACCGCAGCTCTCGCAGCTTTGACAGGGCCCTTATTCGGCGGCCTAATAAGTGAACATACGACCTGGAGATGGGTGTTCCTGTTAAAGTACCTCTTTCTTTCCATCATAGGATGGAGAATATTATAATGACCATGTTTGTAGTGTACCCTCTGGAACAGTCGCGCTGTTGATCCTGTTCTTCGGAATTCCTGCCGGGTTTCCAAACCACACAGCAAACTCGAATCCTTTCCGGAGTCAGGGCCCGAAGAAGGACTTATCAGCCAAGGCCTTTGAGCGATTAGATGTGCTCGGTGCTACCTTACTTCTTGCTTCGACGCTTCTGCTGGTAACAGGGCTTCTTGAAGGCGGGGTCGAATTTCCGTGGAAGTCGGGCGCTACAATATCACTTCTCGTCATCTCTGGCCTTGTTTTGATTCCATTTTTAATTTGGGAACGCATAGTTACGTCGGACAACTGGAAGCAAGAACCTGTATTTCCTTGGAGATTCTTGTTCAACCGTGAATGGCTAGGTGTATTGCTGCAAGTAAATTCGAAAATCACACAAACTGCATCAACTAATTTCTTAACAGCTCTTCGTTACTGAATGGTATCCCATTCTATACAATTGTATTCACGCTTCCTCAAAGAATACAGAACACTAATCATCTGTCACCCTTTGATGCGGCTGTTCGGATAATTCCTTTGTCTGTGGGGTCTGCTAGTGGAGGGGTTCTAGCAAGTATCGTGACGGGAACCGGTCGCATAGCCCCAATCTACCTGCTGTGGGGATATTCTGTTTTGACAGCGATAGGCACTAGCTTGCTTACAACCTTACCATCAACTGTAGACATCCCTCGCTCTTTTTATGGTTATGAATTCTTAGCAGGCTTTGGCCTTGGGGGAACATTCTCTATACCGATGTTGGTAATCCCATATGTTGTAGAAACAAGGGATCTAGGTAGGTTAAAACGCGAATTTCCCCGTGAAAACAGAATGCTAAATTCCCATTTGCAGCAACTGCAAGTGGCGCCTACTATGAATTTCGAATACTCGGAGGCGCTATCGGTTTGGCGATTGCAACAACTGTATTTAACAATTACATTGGGGACAATTTATCAGCTATCTTGGCTCCAGAAGTATTGCAGGCTCTGCTACAATCAACCTTCACAATCGAGGGTCTTCCCGAAGAGTTGAAAGGTCGAGTTGCAAAGGTTTTGGCGGAGGGTTATAACTTGCAGATGAGGGTCACCACAGGTTTTGCTGTTGCACAAATATTCACACTGGGACTATTGTGGAGGAAGAATCAAATTAGAGTCGTCGAGAAAAAAGTATCTTAGATTAGAACCATGGGATCAGGTCCAATTTAGCCTCCTTTTGCAGATCATTGCACACAGAATACCACAATTGAATTGGAAAAGAACCCATAATACAGTACTCGCAATTATCTTGAAAAGTAATATTTTTAGTTCCATTTCCAATATCGCTGCTCATGACTTCCCCCCCACATCACAATGCTGCGTTAATGGCCCTCCGTATTATGTTAACAGAACTGATAACAGCGCTTTTGTCCTTTCCGCTTGGGACTTCATGTCCACCATCGTGAACAAAAATACTTCTCATGCTAGGGTTGCACAGTTCCGCTATGACTCTTGGCGCATCCATGCTTAAGTTATCGTTCTTACCCCAAATATGTGCAGTAGGAATCCCGATTGATACTCGGTCACTCTTCGTGATCAATAATTTCCAGTTGGCGAGTCTTTGATTAGAGAACAAAATCGCAAGCTTGATGTTGGGGTCCAAAATTCCTGACTCTGAGTCTTGAATAAGCATTGCTGTTGCTAATAGGGAGCCGTTACAAAACCCAATGATTCCATCAAATGGGCCTTCTAACTTGACGAATTGACGGAGGTCCTCAATCGCCTTTTTGCCAGTAGCAACGTCATTAAAATATGTAAAGTATTGGTCATCCTTTGGGAAAATAATTTCAATTTCTAAAAAGAGCAAGACACACAAAAGGTTAGCGATAGACGACAAGAGTGATGTAGCTGTTTCCACTGCCCCGATTTGAAGTTGCAAATTGTACCTACCTGAAGCGATGGGGAATTTTACGGTACCATCAACGTAATCGTAGGTGTGATTATCGCCCAACTCGTGTCTGACTGAGCCTTTCATGTATGAATCGCAAATCCTTTCGCAAATGAGCAGTGGAATTTACTCACTGAGTTGAGTTTCAAACACCTGGTTCCAGGTCACTATAATCGTACTTGTAGGGGCAGAATAATAAACATACCTGACCGTTTGTCCCCCCACCATGAAGACACAAAAAGTGCATCTCCTTAAATTGAGACCGGTAGATGAAACGAACAGCTCTAGTTCTTATAATGGTGTGATAGTGAAAGATTTCTACTGAGCTTTCGACACAGGTATCTAGCAGTTATTCATAGAAAAGAGGCAAATTGACTGCACACGAATTGTAGTCGAATATGATACCGAGTGAACTATCTCTATTCAACTAAATCTGCAAAAAGGAGATGGTTAGAAATCCAATTTTAAGATCAACTAATGGTAGCACCGCCACCATTACAGCACATTACCACTTGCACTGTGCGTACTTTAGGGGCTGCCACATGCATGAGTGCAACCTGAATACAGTAATTGCTCCACTGGAATCTACCAGTGCTGGCAGTTGTAAGAATGCAATGTCAGCCATCTCTACCCTGTGAACCCTGTGTTTTTCATAAGTAGCCAGAGAATCAGCTTGGTCTCTCCAAATACCCTGAAAATTGCATCCATGAGGCTTCTATTGCTGGAGAAGGATTTTCCCGAGAGCAACCTAGACACGTGCTGTGGTCATGCGGCCATCTGCATGTCGCCCACCCACTCGCCACCTCACTACCTCTTACAGGCACACTGCAGGATGGTTACAGTAGCATCCAACAGTTTCATTCACAGGGTATGAAGGAACCTGCTTACCCTGATCAACTCCCCCTTCTACCAAAACTTGCATTATGCCGTTTCGTGTTTGATTCGAAAACTGAAAAGTGGGCACTTTGGTCAAGTGCGGCGTTAATAATTAGTATGGCTGACTATTAATCTATTCCGAATTGCAGAATACGAGCTTCATATGGCTCCCTGGGTGGACGGAGAGCGGGCATCCTTCCAAGCCACGTGTACCAGGTTATTTTCGGCATGGAAATTGAAGCGGGTGTGATTAGTTGTGCCTTGAGGCCACATCATGTAAGCCTCGCTGAAGAAGGTGGGGAGCTTAACCAATCCGGGATGAAGCTCTGCGCAGTAGAATATCGAGACACATCCAGGGCGAGTATACTATAATCATTGAAGTTGCAATAGTTTTTGACCCGAGTAATAGGTACCTCAATCTGATTCTCCTGGTGTTCTTTACTTAGCTTTTGATTTCTCCTACCTTTTTCTAAACACGGATTCTCATTACAGTTCCCCACAGAGCTTTCATTCAATCACACAGTTGGCATGATGGCATATCCCAACATTCTTCAAGATGCCGATTCGCCAGGTGCGATCGTGCCTGTCGCGATTGTTGGAATGTCACTAGAATTCCCAGGAAACTCGAGCTCGGCAGATTCATTTTGGTCCCTTCTGATGAGTGGACGTTGTGCCTCCGATGAGTTTCCACCAGAGCGTCTCAACGGAAGTTCACTTTACCATCCGGATCCAACCCGCGGGATGAGTGTATGAAATATCTGCTCCACCAAATTGAGACGATAATACGAGCATTCACTTACTTGTATTTGTTCAGATCCCTGTTCGCTGTGGACACTTTATTGATAGGCCCGTCGATGTATTCGATGCACCGTTCTTCGGGCTCTCTGCTGCGGAGACCTTAGCGATAGATCCTCAATGCCGTGCACTCCTTGAAACAACATACAGAGCACTGGAAAATGGTATGTCATAGAATCTAGCATGTATTTTCGGGAATAAGTTATGAATGTAACATATGCTATAGCTGGGCTCACGATTGCCGGTATCTCAAATAGCAATACCTCTGTTTATACTGGTAGTCTCAGCAATGACTTCACAGCATTTACATCGAAAGACTTAGAGCAGGGCTCAAGATACTCTCTTGTTGGAATGCCTTCGCTTCTTGCGGGCCGCTTAAGCTGGTTTTTCAATCTCACCGGGCCTTCCATCACAATTGATACAGCATGTTCCAGTAGCCTTGTAGCATTGGATTTGGGTTGTCAGAGCTTGTACTCAGGCACGTCAAACATGGTCAGCTAATAGATCTCCTCCACAACATCTGGACGAGGCTAACGTGATAAAAGAGTATTGTTACAGGTAGCAGTCTGATCTTTTCAGAAGACTTATTTCACATGCTTTCGAACATGGGGATGCTATCACCTGATGGGAAGTCTTATAGTTTTGATCATCGTGCGAACGGTTACGGAAGGGGTGAGGGTATTGCGGCTTTAATTATTAAGCGACTTCCCGATGCATTAAGAGACGGTGATACTATTCGTGGTATCATTCGCTCCACGGGAACAAATTCCGATGGCCATACACCCAATGTTACCCAGCCAAGCAAAACCTCTCAGACATCACTTATCCAACAAACGTACGAAAAAGCAGGACTTAGTATGAGACCAACTAGATACTTCGAAGCACATGGTACTGGGTGAGAATCTCAACCCAAAGCTGTATCTGAATCAAAATTGATGGTTGTTAGAACTCCAATAGGGGATCCAATGGAAGCCAATGCCATTGGCGCCGCATTTCGAGGTGTTCATCCAGAAGGAGAGCATTTGTATACGTAATTAATTCTTCCTCAAATCGACTTTTGGATTGAAGCCACTAATTAAATCCAGAGGTTCGGTGAAATCAAATATTGGTCATCTCGAGGGCGCTAGTGGTCTTGCTGGGGTTATCAAAACAATTCTTATTCTGGAGCAGGGAATGATTCCCCCGAATGCCAATTTCGAGAAAATCAATCCAAGAATTGACGAGGTCGGTTTGAATATCAAGGTTAGTTACGATACAGTAGCCCGCTTAAAGGAATTACAAAGCTAAGACAACAGAGATTCCAACCGAAGCAACACCTTGGCCCACGGGAGGCTTACGCAGGGCGTCTGTCAACTCATTCGGCGCAAGTGGTACCAATGCGCACGTTGTACTTGATGATGTTTATCACTTTCTACAAGAACGTGGGTTACATGGAAATCATTATACACGGGCTGAGCCGGCACCACCACGCGATCAACCAGTGAAATCAAACGGGCGAGTGAATAGTTTATTACATGATGAAGCTCAATTTGAGCAGACCACTCCTCGGCTCTTGCTCCTGTCTGCAAGTGACGAGGGGGCCATGAAACGAGTTGTTGAGCTTTATCAAGAATGGCTGAAAGGCATCCCCATGAAAGCAACAGACTTTGCCTCTTTTCTTGATAATTTTACATACACGCTCAATTCTAGACGTACGCGTCTACCTTACAAATCGTTTGCGGTTGTGGAAAACATAGAGGAACTACGTGGGATGGGTTCACAAATGTCCCACCCCCTTCATTCCTTGGAGAAACCACATGCGGCATTTATTTTCACTGGACAGGGTGCTCAGTGGGCCGGTATGGGTAAGGAACTTCTAAAATTTTCCATGTTTCGTGAGCAATTACTGGAATCAAATGAGTATCTGAAATCGTTAGGATGCCAGTGGGATATCATTGGTATTGTCTTCCCCCTTTACCGTCAAATGGTGAGATTTACTAAGCGAGGCGTAGATAGTCTTTCCAACATTGAAAATAAAGGGGCTATCGATCGACCCAGTTTAAGCCAAACTCTATGTACTATACTCCAGGTTGCTATTTGCGATTTATACCGCATCCTTAATATCTGTCCCATTACTGTCGTTGGACATTCATCGGGTGAAATTGCGGCAGCGTAAGTACCCTATCGTCAAGCATTTGTTGTTTAGAGCTGAAGTTAGATCGTAGATATTGCACTGGGGCACTCTCCAGGGAATCGGCCTGGAAAGTGGCGTACTTTCGGGGTATGGTGTCGGAGAGCCTAGCCGAAAAATATGAAGGAGGGATGATGGCGGTTGGCATGCCCGCCGCAATCCTTCATACAATAATCGAAGAAATTGCTCCATCGCTCACCATCGCTTGTATAAACAGCCCTGAGAGTGTGACAGTCTCTGGAGACCGAGCACAATTGCAAATCTTGACAGACGCACTCGCTAGCGGAACATACGGCTCCGGCATTTTTCAACGTCGACTTAAAGTGCAAGTGGCCTATCATTCATCCCAAATGTCTTCCGTAGCGGAAGAATACCGAGGACTATTGGGGGTTTTGGAGCCAGGCGAAAGTGAAATCCGGCCGAGGCCTACCATGATATCTTCCGTGACAGGCAAGCTCATTGAGCCCTGCAAAATGTGTAATGTTGAATACTGGATCCAGAACATGCTACAGCCTGTCCGGTTCAGTGATGCTGTTGTGCAGATGGTATCACAACCGAGTTTTGGTCGACGGAAGAAGCTTGACGGTAGCCATCGGCCATTGGTCGTTTTACGCCCGCATGTTTTGGTGGAGATTGGGCCACATTCAGCTCTTCAAGGTCCGGTCAGGAGCGTGCTCAAACAGACACCTGCTGCCTCAGGTATAAAATACTACTCAGCTTTGAAGCGAGATACACCAGCAGATAGGACGACCTTGGCTGTTGTTGGACAGCTCAGCTGCCACGGATTCTCTGTGGATCTCGCACGGGCAAATGAATTGCATCGTGATTTGGGAGAAATTCGCCAACAGATGAGATTTGTACTGCACACCCTTCCTGAATATCCATTTAATCATTCAGATCGATACTGGTCAAACGCTCGTCTTGGTCAAGAGTACCGATATCGCCGCCACGCCAAACTTGATCTTCTGGGAAAGCCGGTGATTGATTGGAACCCGCTTGAAGCTAGATGGACGAACTTTTTGAAGTTGTCGGAGATTCCTTGGGCAGCTGACCATAAGGTGTGTTCACAGTTCGGCAAGAGGCTTTTCACTTTGCCTTGCTATTTTCCCAATGTAACAATCTAACTTAGACTAGATTAACGGCTCTGTGATTTACCCCGCTGTAGGAGTATTTATAATGGCAGCAGAAGCAGCAAAGCAATTAGCCCAGTCGAATTCAGATCGTCCAATTAAAGGCTACAGACTTAGCAAGGGATACTTCTTGACGGCCCTCGTCATTCCAACAAGTGCCGAAGGCATTGAAACTCACCTTCATCTGAGACCCCCTCAAGATGATGCGAATAGAGATTGTCCTTCCTGGGAATACGATTTGTACTCATGTCAAAACGGTCAATGGCATAAGAATTCTCATGGTACTATTGTCGTTGAATATGAGACCCCTCCAAACAAGGTTTCCGTAGTGCAGGAGGAGTTAGAGTGGCTCAGGCGTAGTCGAAATGCTCACAAAAACGCAGAAGCTACGGCAAAGTCGGTGATGTCTCGAGCGAACTTCTACAAATCGTTGTGGAAGTCGGGATATACCTTTGGTCCTGCTTTTCGTGCAATGGACAATGTCACTTTCAGCGATGATAACGGATGGGAGTCAACAGCAGATGTCAGGTGTTTCGATTGGCACGCTGTAGATAATTCGAATCACTATCAAGAGCATATTGTACACCCTACAACACTGGATGGGGTTATACAAACGAGTTTAGCAGTAATGGCTCAAGGCGGCGCCGGTGTCTCTCCTACTGCTGTGCCCATTGAGGTTGAAAACTTCTGGGTTTCCAGCACAGGGCTCGCATATCCTCAAGCAGAAATGGTAAAATCGAAAGCTCGACTTCTCAGCAAAGGTATCACCGGATATGAATCTTCTGTCACTGCTCTTGATAGCACATCAGGGAAGGTTTTACTTTACGCGAAAAGATTCAGGCTCAAGTTTGTTACTGCGACAGGTTCTACACATGTGCGAGATAGGAATCCGCATATGTGCTACCATTTACAGTGGAAACCAGATGTAGACCTATTCAAGACATCAAACGCATTAGATACTTTAACACTTCCCCAAGGATCAAACGAAATTCGGGGTGATAGGATGCTCGAAATTGTCAAGTCGTATCTTGAAATAGCAACTTTCAAGAATCCCAACATGCATATTCTTCACATCAGTGCGGGGCGGAACGATCGTCAACATTTCCTGTTAGAACAATTCTTCGCTCCTAACAATTCCTGTAAGCTAGTCTTACCACACGGACTGTACACTTTGGTGGATCTCGCTGGAATGCAACAGAGGGACGAGCTGCGCCGAGAGTATGATGGTTTGACAATATATGCAAGCGAAAGCTTGTATTCTGGAAGACTGGGGGAGAATACGTTTGATCTCGTGATTTTGTCTCGGGTAATCTTTGCAATTCATAACATCATTTATCCCACAACTAACTGAATTCCAGGACTCTGATAGGGACGCAAACGCCTGCAAATATTTGCCTCATGCTGTTAAATTACTAAAACCGTGAGTAATTTGGTGAGATTCGTCTCTATGTTGCGGGAATGCTGATTACCAAATGTAGTGGCGGACGACTCATTCAGCTAGAGATTGGAGCTTCCTTGCGTACTGACGAAAGATGTAATGGTAATTCTTAAAGAACTCCTGTGCAAAACAAGTACTAACTCATGGAGTGTTACATGAAGATAAGGACACTATCAGCGGAAGTCGCGCTTTTGACAGTAAAATGACCGCGGAAATATCCTTGGAAGAGGAAACACATATGAAGTTCAAAGTTTTTAGAAAGCTTTTACGCCAGCAGCTTGAACCGCTTCCCATGCGATTTGTGCTTATCATTGATGACGTTTCCCAAGCTCAACAAGAAGTTTCCGATTGCTTAGTAAAAGAGTTACAGCAAATAGGCCACCGCGATTGCGAAGTCAATTCGTTAGACAAAGTCAAGAGCATCGATTCAGAAATTCAGACGACGTATATATTTTTGATAGAGATGGAGAGGCCATTATTGGAAGATATCTCATCAGAAGAGTTTCTCGTGTTAAAAGAAATTATAATGAAGGCTAAGGGAATCCTCTGGCTCACTGCGCGAGAAAAGCAGCACCCTCTTCTACCGAGTCGAGGAATAGTCGATGGGCTCGCTAGGGTGGTCCGAGCGGAAAGCAATCGCGCCGTCTTTGTTTCCGCATCGCTTGAGAAGGATTCTATAGAAAAGCAAGTAAATCACATTATAACAGTGGTGAGAAAAACGGCTTTTGGATGCACAGATCAAAATTACGAATCAGCATACTCCCAGGACGGTGGCAATCTCAACATCTGCCGTGTTGTTCCAACTAAAGATACCTCAAGTGATGTTTTCCAACGATCGTTACCGGAGCAGTCAAAACCACAAGCTTTCGGAACAGGGCCACCTCTTCTGTTAACAGTAGCCGCACCGGGATTGCTTGACAGTCTTCAATGGGTTGAAGATACCTCATATTACGAAGATATCGCTGCTGATGAGGTTGAGGTTAAAGTCCAAGCGATTGGACTAAACTTCAGAGATTTACTTTTTGCCTTAGGAAGGATCAATGGAACGACGTTAGGGACCGATTGCGCAGGTATAGTGACCCGAGCAGGAAGGCAAACCGAATTCAAGGCTGGAGACCGAGTCGCCCTTTTTACTCCAACTGCATTCGCAACTTATACCAGGATCAAAGCAGCAGCAGTCGCTCGAGTTCCCACGGGGGTCAACTTCTTTCAAGCCGCGTCGGTTCCGTCGCAATTCGTGGCGGCTTGGGACGCTCTTCAAAATTTGGCGAAATTGAAAAAAGGAGAAACAATCCTTATTCACTCAGGGGCCGGTGGAACAGGCCAGGCTGCCATACAGATTGCGCAACACCTTGGTGCTGAAATCATTACCACTGTCGGTTCTGCCGAAAAGAAACGGTTCATTACAGAGCACTATGGTATTCCAGAAGATCACATTCTCTACAGCAGAGATACGTCCTTTGCAGATGGTATTCGCCGCATGACAAATGACCGTGGTGTCGACGTCATTCTTAATTCGCTTGCAGGAGAAAACTTAGTGGCGAGCTGGGAACTCATTGCTCCTTATGGTCGGTTCATTGAAATTGGAAAGAAGGATATCGATGCGAACAACAACCTACCGATGGGACCTTTCATGAGAGGTGCCACCTTTGTCTCTTTAGATGTGGCATCGAAGTCTCACGATATGCCGTTGCTAGTAAAACACACCATCGAAGGTATACTGAATATGTTTCAACGAGGGATATTCCATCCTGCGCAGCCTCTACATGTTCTCTCCATTTCTGATATAGAGAAAGGTATGCGACTGCTACAAGAAGGCAATCTGAGTGGGAAAGTTGTGTTCGAAATCAGTCATGATGCAGTAGTCCCTGTAAGTGAAAGGGCGACAAGTTCGCGTGTCATGATTTGCTAATGCCTACATAGACCACCTTAAAAACAACCCCGTGCTTTTTCTTCGACAAAGAGAAGACTTATGTAATTGCTGGTGGAACTGGTGGATTAGGACTCGCAACTGCAAGATGGATGGTCGAAGAAAGAGGAGCAAGAAGCATCCTCTTGTTATCCAGGTCAGGACTTCAAAGGGACGAAGTTATTGCGACAGTGGCCAAGCTTCGAGAAACGGGGGCACGTATAGAGGCCCCTCCTTGTGACATATGTGATGTTTCAAAGTTACGGGCTGTCCTTGATAATTATAAAAACGATATGCCACCAATTGGTGGTTGCATACAAGCAGCAATGGTTCTCCGGGTAAGTACAACCGCTTTCTGAATTCTTTGCAAAACTGACTAGTCTTAGGATACACTGCTTGCTAATATGACCCATTCAGACTGGAAAGTGAGCACGGCGACAAAGACTACTGGCTCATGGAATCTTCATACCCTCCTTCCCAAGGGCCAAGACTTTTTCGTGCTTCTGTCCTCTGTTGCCGGCATCCTGGGTTCCGCTGGGCAAGCAAATTATGCCGCTGGTAACACATATTTAGACTCCCTGGCTCGTTACCGTGTTTCGAAAGGGGAAAGGGCAGTTTCTTTGAACCTTGGTGTAATGCTCGAAAATGGCTTCTTGGCTTCAAAGACGGATCTTAGGGAGCGAATCCTGACCGGCGGGTTTCTCACGGGTGTTACTCCCTCTGAGTTCTTTGCCGTGCTTGATAAATACTGCAATCCAAGCCAGAAAGTTTTAAATGTTGATGAAAGTCAGCTCATCATTGGACTTGCTCCACCGTCCAAAATCTTGAAAAGGGCAAACAAAGATTTTCCATTTCCCACGCTTCCATTCTACCAACACATTCTGCATCGCGCGAGCAACAAGACAGACGAAGGTTTGGATGGTTTAGCTAGAAATCGTCAACAATTCATAGCAGCTGAAACTCTCGAAGAAGCGGGCGCTATTGTTTCCCGGGCATTTTTGGAGCGACTAGTGAGCAGCATGCCAGCATCTGCAGGAACATTGGAAGACGGCACAGCCGCTCTTTTGCAACCAATTCGTGTGTTTGGCGTTGATTCATTACTGGCTATTGAATTAAGAGGCTGGTTTGCTAAGGAATTCGGGGCTGATATTCCGATCTTTGAAATCCTGGGAGAAGGCACGATTCTAGCCATTGGCCTCTCTGCCTCGGGGAAGAGCTCACTTCGTTCATTTGACGATTCATGAGTGGAGGGATTAATGTTTTCGTGGGACGTGTGCGTTGAATTGGGTCAAGCACGAAGGCTTTTGTCCTTAATTGATCTTTCTAAAACATTCTACTCAGGACCTTTAGAGATAAAAATCCATTTGGCCTAAGGACAGCTTCTCGACGTATCAAACAGGTACCGCTAGGATGGGATGACATTCTCATAATTGCAGCACTACTTGTGAATTTGGCACTTCAAATTATGCTCATTTGTAAGTGGTTTGTATATTCCTTGGAAGATAGCTTACTGATGTTTGCACAGTAACAATTCCGTATGGTGGCGTGGGCCATCATACTCTGGTAGTTGCCCAGAAGTCACCTGAGTAATTCCCCTTTCTCGGCTTAGCGACACTTATCGTCACCCCGGTTCTATATATATTTGCCGTCAATCTTTCCAAAGGAGCAATTCTCCAGATGTTTTTGAGAATATTCACAATTAGGTGGGCTCGAAGACTTACGAAGGTGGTTGGAGTAATCCTCATCCTTCAAACGATCGTGATCTTTTTCACCACAATCTTCCAATGCAGGCCGACTTCCTTGATCTGGACATCGCTTGAGAGGAATTCCTGTATTGATATCGGAAGGTTTTTCGCATACTCATCGATTCCAAATATCGCCACCGATCTAGCAATGCTGATTTTACCAATGCCAACAATATGGAATCTAAAAGCGACTGTGCAACTGAAGGTGTGCATAACCCTCACTATTTTGACGGCAAGTATGTAAGTTGATCTTCACTTCTGTTCGAAAGATTTGAAAACATTGGTTAATTGATTTTAGTGGTATAATCACATCTATTTCACGCACTGTTGGGTTCTTTATCGTCAGACCATTTGAAGACCCCGCATGGATTGGTGTCAATCTATTGGCCTATACCATTGCTGAGCCTGGGACATACTTTCTGGCGGCCTGTTTCCCAACATATCGTCCACTGATAGCATATTTCAACGGCCAGCGTTTTCGCGCGGCTTTCAGCGCTCGTTATTGGACTGGCTCAAGGAAGTATGGAAACATAACCAAGAATGGGGGAGAGAACAGTCATGGGAATTCCAAGCAGACAGTACCTGGATTAACACCGGAGGCAGCCGTCTATCAAGATGCAATTGCGTTAGTGGAAGTGGCAAGAGCAGTTTGAATAAATGATTATTGGATACTGTACCTTTGCTGTCGACCCATCTACCTTTCAGGCGTGAGTTTTATTCTATCTGGTGGAATCGGAGAGTAATACATACTGATATTAGCTTCGTCAGGCAATAATATACTGGAATGAGGATTGATTGTGTAGATATAACTGCGGAGGTGAAGCAAATCTTAGCATTCAAATCAAATTTGGGGCTCTTTTTTGCAGTACATTTCTTATATGATCATCAGATTTATTCGCTGGTACGGTTTTTGGTGGGTTCATTGTCCCCTCCACAACACCTATTTCTCAATCAACCGCTATTAATCCATCTCAGAGCACATCACCTTTTACTTCTGGACCCGAATGAGGTATTTTACCACGGACACCGAGCGCCATCTTTGACGGGTTTCTTCAGTAGCAGTCGAGGGAAAATTGGTGCAAATGATAAGAATCACATTTATTGGACTCACCTCTATTGAATCAAAAATTGCCCTCATAATCGGGTAGTCTTGCTTGCTTTTTATACTGGTCGAATATTGCATGTTTCCTCTTGCGATAATTATAACTTACCTCTTCTCGAAGCGTCTTATGGCTCACTGGATTTGCCTGTCGCCGCATACGAGACTATACAAATTTCTTGATTCATGCCACACTTCTGATAATATAGCTTACCCAAAGACCCATAATATAGGCAGTCTTACGCTTCCCAATTCTCATTATTCCAAGGTTCCAAGTGAGGCAAGTGAAAGCGCATCAAATGTTCCATGGAATAGAGCGGGACCTGTGGCAGCCACTTAACGAAGCCATCAAAACCGGAAGGCAGTTAATGCATTTTACAAAGCAATGAACTCGAGAAACAAGAGAGGACAGCCGCATCAGTTGTAGATTACACCGAAGCTATTGTTCTTTTAAGACAATACATATCTTCGGACCAAGTTTACTAATCTGGAGTTGGGGCGGCCAAGAAAACCACCAAAACTGCCGTATAACTTCGCAGTATTAGCATTTATATTACAAACTTCGGAAGGCACAAAAACTCACGCGGCAGTTGCAGCAAATATCTCCACCCTCTTCGCATTCGTCAAAACTCCAACGCTAAGGGCAAACCCCGTTGTGAAAAATCCAATTGCAATTAATCGTCTACCCATGTTTTGAGCCGGAATAAAATATAACACAAGAATAGCACCAAAGAGCAATAAAACACTGATTAAAACACTCAAGACTGCAACAAAACGAGCGACTGTATAGTGCGGAAAGTAGTACATTCCCTCCCACGATTCGGGGATCGGGTCTTCTCGGCTCTGAAGAGCATATCCAAAGTATTGTTGTATGAATGTTGAAAGCCGATCGGAATTTTCCTCTGTGTAGAGGGACATGAGATCTTTTTCATCGTCAAGTAGAGTAAACGAGCTCGCCCGGAATGGCACGCGGCTTCGAAACCAGTTCGTGAAGGCTAGGAGGGTTTTTGTTGAAGGGCTATTTAGGGCCAGTATTTGACTACGTCGTAAAATTGCCTTTTCTGTGAAGTTGTTGATTCAGTTTTCCTTTTTCATTTTTTTATCATTTTTTGAGTTGAAGAAACTTACCGTACATTCGCATCACTTCCCTAATCCTCAAAACAATCCTCATCTTCTTTGATTGTCGTTCATTACCACGATCAGCTTGATCGGAAAATGCTTCCCACATCCTTGCTGCCGCATCTATAGCGTTCTTCTCAACCAAGTTTGAACCTTTCGAGATATCTTTGCGATCTTGTTCATCCAGCCTTTTCAGTTCGTCTTCTAAGAATTGCAACTCAGCCTGGAGATAAAGAATATTTCGCGCCGCCAGTGTCCCAAACCGCCGATACACTGATAGGGTCTCATCACTTCCTATGTAATGTGAAAACTCAGCGAACCCCTCGAGATACTTGTTCGAACGCTTCTCTGCTTCAATATGAGTGCGCATCGTGAAAACTGTTTTCCCTTCCTGCAGGCAACAAGATGAAATTGGTGATGAGCAAGTTCGTTAAATTTGAAATTTCCGGCTGATAGCTTGCACCGATTGGCCCTGAGTGCATGCTGGGGTGGCTATGCATATGACTGCAGGAACTGCGTCCTCTATCTCTACACGAAGCCTTATTTTTCATCAAATCTTTTTACAACAAACGTATAACGTCAAAAAAGCCATTATGTCCGATGGATGCATTGTCGTGAAAGATAATATATTTATCGTGCAAGCGCACTGTGCCGAAGCGAGGTCCGTGGTGTCGACTGGTGAGTCGCATTTTCTAGTTCTCGTTCGAAGAAATCGCCCTAAGGCTTTGTCAGATTCTATTCTGGTATCGGGCGACTCTAATCTGCAACTAGAAGAAGCTTTGGATATATCGGACATCGATAGGGGAGAGAAGAATGGTAATGAATTGTCGAGTCCAAAGATAATCGCAAGCGGTTGGCGTGGCAAGAAGATATCTAATGGAGATTATACCAAGTTCGGAGCCAGCCAAGGATTCGATAAGCCATACGATTTCGGAATTGGGGATCGTGGGGGGCATAATGATGAAGACCCTGCCAAAGAACAAGAGAAAAGGAATGGTGATGGAGATGATGGGGAAGACGGTGAGGGGGGCGGGGGAAAAAGGGGAGAGCGTGACGCACAAGAGGAAAATGGAGAGAGTGTGCTCGAAAAGCAGCTTTCACTCCTCAATAACCTAGACGACAAGCTAGCGGGCCTCGAAGTTGGTAATGAATATGGTATTGTTTTTCCCGCAGGCTAAGAAGCGATAGCTGACATCCAATCTTTAGACTCACTTTTCATGAGAGAGCTCAAAGAAGAACTACGGCGCCAATTAAAAGCTAAAGATGCGATCGAGACTGAATTCTACTTTGACGCTGCGGGGAGAAGCAGGAAAGTTGCCGAGGAACAAATGTTGCAGGAAAGGTGGATGAGAGAATGGTTCGATAGACGAGAGAAAATGCGGGTCACCTCCATGGACGTCAGGAGCCACCAATTGGGAAAAGCCAAACTAAACTACCAGGAGCGAAATTTGCCATACGACGACGGAAAAAGGCTCCACTCGTGGATCTGGATGCAACGAGTTGTAGCGGAAATTGATGGAGAATGGTGCGGACTAGACCGCAATCATGAAGAAAGACCATCCCCACAAGCAAAATTAGCCATCGTCTATCAAAATGCTTCCCTTGGAGTGCTACGAGATCAGAAAGATGTCTTATTTGGGAAAACGATCTTCTAGCTCAGCTACTTCCACGTTTTAAGATTACCTTAGGTTTACCTCGACCGAAGGGTCCCGATAGTACTAGACCGTACGGCTACAGACAACACATAGCTGGGATCTGCCTGGACTGGGAAGGTGATATTACGCATTGGAAGCGTTCAGTTAAGAAAGATGGAAGCAAGTATTATATCAACATATGGAGTAGCGGGGAAAAGCGAACTTCGAACTCATGATGTTCTATTCTGCACAAGGGCAGCAATGGTCTTACTTAAGAGCTATTCAAATACCGGTGCTCTTTTGGCTCATGATCAAGTGTCTTATGAAAATGTTCGTCACCAAAGTTTGGGAACTCAGCGTATTCAGTGCTACTCGGTAACCTTTTGTTGTCCTATCATTAGTCAACCACGGGGATACCGAGCTTCGTATGCATTCCCAATAGGACATCTGTAGGTTTGAGGCTATGAACGAAGATTAATTGGTTGTTATGTAGCCGATTGGAAGCAGTATGAAATGATGACCGCATACGATCACTTGACACAGTACACTGCCTCATTCCATGCCCAGCCCAGTCTCGTTTCTTGATTTAAGAATAAAGCACCTATCTTTTTGTCCTCCCTTGCCCTCTTTCCCATATTCAAATCGATTCTTTCAGAGCTCGATCCATTCATAACTCCATTTTTTAAATAAATAGGTATTGATACGCCACGCCCGTTGCGGGAGGAGGGCCTCGTGTTCTCCGATCCAGCCAGGATGGTACGATTGAGGCGGACCACAAAACAAAGCCCAGCACCGAAACTCGGCTCCCATATACTAGCCATAGAGGAACACTGTCAAGTTCCCGTCGAAAGAATCGCACTGTAAAGACGGCGAAAGAGCTGATTTCGTCTTTGGATGATACCAATATACAGGCAACTACCCACCCTGCTATTGCTACTGTCGAAGAAAAGCACGATGAAGTGAGCGAACTCGCAAATCCGAAAGAAGTCCCTAGTGGTTGGTACGGGAAGAAGGTCTTAAAAGAGAAGTATGCCGAGAATGGGGCAAGCAGAGGCTTTAATAAACCATACAACTTTAATTCGTGGCGTGGTGGTGGTGATGGCGGTGATGGCGAAAATGGTGATAGGAAGAAGGGAAAAGAAGGCGGTAGTGGAGATGATGGCACAAGTGATGGAGGGGAGAGTTCAAGTGGAGGGGGCACAGAGGCTGTGACGAAAAGATTGGAAAATGCAGTTCTGGAAGAAGACGAGGGCGAAGAAGACCTAGAGGCCTTTCAGAACGGTACTATTTTATTTCCATTTGCCATATGATAATGCTTATATCTTCTAGGACAAATCCGGGAGGCCAGCTCAGTGTACTCTCACGACTACGAAGAAGAGCTTCGCCGCCGTCTTAAGGCCAAAGAGTCAATCCGAATAGAATTCCAACGAACTGGGAATTTCGAGGAAAGGTCTTTGCAATTTTACAATGAGCGACTTAGACAGGCAGCATGGAACTCTCGAAAACTACAGGAAAAGAAGCAGAAAGAAATGGATAAAAGTGTGGAGCAAAAAACGGAGATGACCAGAGAACTTCGAAATCCGAAGGAACTAAAATTGAGGCATGACGATGGAAAGATTACAAACTCATGGACCTGGAAAATGAACGACACGGACATAGGAGAATATGTTCATACATATGGCGGTGCCGGGAACATTCGCATGACTAATGGATATCAAAGATGTTTTCCTTGGAGTCTGAAGTGATCGCCCCATCGATACCTAATTTGGGAAAAGGATCCTCTACAACGACCCGCGCCAAAATATTGGAAAATCACCAACAACACAGTAGACTCCATCCATCATGACGAAAAGGCGTTGACTGCAGAAGTGGATCACAGTGAAGGTGGATATGAGAGCTGGAAAGGTCTAGTAGAAAAATTTCCTTCAGGAGCTGGAGGGAAGCTTTACATGTGGATCGAGGCCGATGAATAGGTCTAGATCAATTTGAGCATGTATACTAGGCGTTACTATTTATTACAATACTGCAAACACTAAATATGACTAAATACCTTCAAACCCTATTTCAAGAAGCAGAAAACCTAGAAGATGGTTACTTCAAGCATGACTTAGTGTTTCAGACGACTTAGTTTCATCATTACGGCAAGTTCTATGATGTTTTAATTACTACTTTATCGTCTATTCATTATATGTGAGATGAGAGGCTTATTTTTATTTTGTATTTTGCTAGCTAGCTTTAAACGCTTATACTTCGACTATATATAGACTAATTATAAGGCTTTATTTTATAAGATAATCAAAAGATAAGCGCTCTCGGCTATATTAAGTACTACGAAAAGAAGTAGCCATAAAAGAATAATAAAACTAAGGAAAAAACTTAACAGAAGTAAAATAGGTATAAATAAGTACTAAATGCAAAGACTTTATAAAAAACGGCGGCTTAGGAGATAACGATTCTATAGACCTAATATAAAATATCCCCGAAAAGTATTAGATAACTACCTACTAAGTGTGACGGAGCTGGATTTCATTTGACAGGATTTCATTCGCTTGGCCAAGCACGTGACGAGACTTGGCATTGGAACAACTTAAATAACTTCGCTCCTTTCAGATTCTCTTCTCTCTTTAGTTTGATTTCTTCGTACCTACGGTTTTAGTTCTAGCAATTGATTCAAAAGCTGTATACACTTTATCCTTTGTTGGCATCCGTGACATCTCTCTCTCTCTCTCTCTCTTTCTCTAAATAATATACTAGGGTATAACCCTATCCGTTAGTAACAATATAATAGTAAGGATACGATAATAAGGATATATTAATAGTAAGGGTAGGCGATAGTAAGGATAGGTAATAGTAAGGATAAGCGATAGCGAAAATAGGCGATAGCGAGAATAAGCGATTATAAGCGATAGTAAGGATATAATAATAGTAGGTAGCGAGTTTATATAATTAGGCCCCCTTTATAAGTATATAGTAGTATAAGGGTATAGGTACTCTAGTCTCTAGTATAGTTGTAGTAAAACTTTTATAATTTACGATTTATAAATTAGTATTTAAGTTAGGTTATTTAGCCTTTTAGTATATTGTCACGAATCACGTGCTCACGTGATACTTGTCATAATAAGAGGCGCAACCCTCGGCAGGCACACCCAGGTTTCTTGTAGCAGAAAGGGATCCTTAGACCAGCTAAGCGATCCAGGGATTTTCATTGATTGGAAAGGTCACGTGACCTGGATCTTTTGGATCGTAATGATCCACGATCCAGGGGCGTAGATCTGCATGATCCAGTACGATCCACGAACATGAAACGATCTATATAAGACTGGCACGTCTGCCATTAGATAGGAGCTTCGTGCTCAACTTAGTTATCAATCTTATCATATTAGTTTGACATCTTTGATACAAGTAACGAGTTCACTTCCAAGTGAACAACCCGATAGTCTTCTTCTTATCATAGCATACCAACCAGCGAACACCCAGCCAAGTTTAGTTAGCCAGTTTGAGTATTCGTTACACTACTTCTTATAAATCCTCTATCCCTCTTCTAAGATTCGAACGTTTTCTTAGGTACTTATTAAGATAGCTAGTAGGTTCGTATTATCTAAGAACCTAAGTATAATAAGGCTTTTTACTCTCTAGAGATCTTTATATAAAGTTAATATAAAAAGGATAAAAAGAATAGAAGAGATAATCAAGCCTTAGAAGACCCTCTAGTAGAAGTACTTCTCCTCTATATATTAGTTATTAAAAAATAAGGTAGCTTTTTAGTTAGCTAGGTAACTACCTACTTAGATAACTATCTACCTAAGAAATCCTTTTTTAGAGTATATATAGAAGCTACTTATATGTAAAGAATACTCAAACTGGCTAACTAAACTTGGCTGGGTGTTCGCTGGTTGGTATGCTATGATAAGAAGAAGACTATCGGGTTGTTCACTTGGAAGTGAACTCGTTACTTGTATCAAAGATGTCAAACTAATATGATAAGATTGATAACTAAGTTGAGCACGAAGCTCCTATCTAATGGCAGAAGTGCCAGTCTTATATAGACCCTTCACTTTCCTGTACCTTGCCAGGACCGCTGGTCGGTCCTGTCGTTCCAGAAGTTCAGAATCAAACTAATATGATAAGATTGATAACTAAGTTGAGCACGAAGCTCCTATCTAATGGCAGAAGTGCCAGTCTTATATAGACCCTTCACTTTCCTGTACCTTGCCAGGACCGCTGGTCGGTCCTGTCGTTCCAGAAGTTCAGACCGATCGTCGGTCCAGTCGGTCCAACTAGTCACGTGACAAGATACGAAGGAAATCCCTGGATCGCTTAGCTAGCCCAAGCGATCCCATTTGCTATAAGAGCGTTAATTAGTGCTTGACTTGTCAGGACGCCGTCTGGTCCTCACTTCTCACGTGCCAACACGTGATTCGTGACAGAAAGGAGCAAGAGATCTATATCTTTGGCTATAAGAAGGAGAGGAGAATAGGTCACTTGTCTAGAAAGGAGTAGATAAGGGGAGGTGGGCTTCGGGAGAGGAGTAGGAAGGAGAGGCTAAAATAAGGTAGAAAAATAAGGCTATTCGCAAGTACGCTAGGTTCGTTGAAGTACGCTAGTTCGCTAGTTCGCTAGGTTCGTCAAAGTACACTAGCTAGGTTCGTTAAAAGTACGCTTCGTCAAGAGCTACGTACTACCGTATGTTTATACTCGAGTAACCCCTTACTCTGGATCAAGGACGTGTATATCTACCTAATTTCCACCTGTTTTAGTACTATATTTTAGACCTATTTTAGACCTACTAAAACCTACAACACCTAGCCTTAGGAGTACTCCCGCCCTCTCCTATCCGGTACCCTAGCGAGGATAAGGAGTACTAATTAGTCAGGATTGGAGTAGGAAGGAGAGCGCTCTAATTTATACGGATAGGAACGGAGAATCCGTAGGATAGGAGTGGCGGGGAGAGGTTTGGAGGGGAGATCCAAACACTGGTGTACACTGGTAGCTTTAGACTAATAAACTACACTAACCAGCTAGTTTAGATATCGCTTATAAAACTATATAAAATCGCTCGTAGTACACTATATAGTACAATAGTATAGTGCACTACGCAACGTACTGATCTTATTCCCCACACTGCCAGAGTAATGAACCACGATATCCTGTTTCCTGAAATATTCGGTCCCGAGTAGTCTTGAATTCGGGCGTCACCCACGGTTCGAGGGGAAACTGCCTGTCAGCGCGGAGACATGCTTCGAGAGCTCCCGGGGGAAAGAAGTTCGATATGAGCAGCTTCTCGGAGCTGTATCCTAACGAAAACAAACTATCCTTCTATTTTTCGTTTTCGCGTCAGCATTTTAGATTACGAAAGTTGGCTTTTTGGAACACTTACGTGGGCATCAAGTAATTACCACGCATCAGGCTGAATCAATAACCGGCGATAACCAAATAACTCAAAACCCAATGCTTCTTCCATCATCGGTTTCAACGCGTCCATGTCAACCTTTACACCAGCTGGAGTGCATGGAACACTCACAAAAACGCATGAACGGGCAAGAGATGGATATTTAGCCACTAGATAGCTAAGGAAGAGTGAGCCGAAATCATGGCCTACCACATGGATGCTTTTGTTGTTGGTCCTGAGACCAACCATTTCCAACATACTGATTAGATCTTCGCCCATTCTGGTAAATGTGTATTCTTCAGGGTCTGTTGGACACGAGGTCTGGCCATAACCCAACAGATCTGGGGCGATAACTCCAAACCCCAACGAAACAAGATGCTGGATCTGGTAGATCCAGCCATGGCTTGATGATGGCCACCCATGCAGAAGAAGGACAGTAGGCTTGAAGGCTTTCTCTTCGGCTGAGCCAGCTGGGAAATGAGCGTAAGAGTAAGTGTTACCTGAAGGTACAGTGACGCTGTGCGCGTTGTTGGGATAAGCGATATGAGCCATGATGATACTGTCAAAACTCTGGCAAGACTCAAGACTCACGCTGGGTGTAGGTATATATAACTGCAGTTCATTTTACATTTCAAGGTGTGTTGGAGTTGGGGCTGTGTGCTGACTGTTGGCTCCAAACGTGTGTCCATACACACATTCCTTCCTTTTTTCTCAACCCTGTCTTGCTGCAAGGCATGTTGGAATTGAGAAGAGGGGTAATTAGACTGTCAGTATAGAATACAAATAAAAGTAGAGATCAACATGTCAAGTTATGGTATACTTTATCTCTAGCTGGGCTAGCTACGTACAATACCTCCGAGTAGTAAGGTAGGAGTGGAACTATATGGTGCCTTTTCACTGGTACTGTACTATCCCAACACACACTAAGCAGGTTCTGTGACCACAAATAACCCACAAAATTAAAAGCAGAGCCAACCAAAAAAGACTGCTATTACCCAAAAACACCTTACTCAATCGGTGGTTTCTACGTGTCAACTGTCCAAAGAGATCTTGTGCCAATTCAATATTGCTGCGGGCGCTTTTTGTGTCATTTTGGATAACTGTCGAGCATTAGCCTGGCCCTCTGAACTTCCGACGCTATATTTTCATTAATATATCCTAATCTTGTATATATTCCATACTGAGGTAGGAATTAGTAATCTAAACGCTAACACGAATGTAGGAATAGAGACGGGAGATAATAGAAAAGAGTACGCGATATAATTCTGATGTGTATTAAAATATACACTTAAGCTTCTACTAGGGAACTCCTGCGTCTAAATTGTAGCGTGGGACCTCTCTGCTCGCTTACGAAGCGATCAAACAATTGAAACTCATCCTTCCTCTCCCGACCTTCAGGGCCCGTCCCTAAACCTTCTCCCGTGAGATCATTCTGATCCAGTTTGATATCAAACTGCCAGATCAACCGCGCAAGAATGTATGCTACCTCTTTATACGCCATATCCTTCCCAATACAACTACTGCGACCAGCCCCAAAAGGTGTGAATGATGGGCCCGAACCGACACCAGGTTTAAGCGCCACGCCACCCTCCTTCGCCTCGTCTTTGGACATCCATCGCTGCGGCTTATAGGCAAGGGGTTCAGGAAAGACGTCGGGGTTGCGATGGAGGCTGTAGTGGGGGATGCCCAAATCGGTGCCTTCGGGGAAGAAGTCGCCATCAACCACTATTCCACCAGGGCCAGCACGGCGAGGGAGGATGCTGGGGACAGGCGGACTGATGCGCATGGATTCATCGATGCAGGCAAATAGCCAGTCAACACGTTGAAGCTCCGGGCTGGCAAACTGGATGGGACAAGACAATTTACCCGTGGGTGACGGTGTTGCTGGAAAAGCTTCACGAAGCTCCCGGGTGAGGCGATGGAGAGCATCCGGGTTATGTACGAGGTAGAAGAGGGTCGAAGTCGTGGCCGTGATCATGCCGTCGGTGCCCCCGATGATGAAGAGACTGGCCTCGGACGTGAGCTCCTCGGGCGTGAATCCTCGCCCGCTTTTAGGATCGCGCGCAGTCAGCAGTGCTTCCCAAATATCATTGCTCGATACCCCTTTCTTGCCGTCCTCGAGTCGGCGGTTGGCAAAGGAGCGACTCAGTGCCATCAGCTGACCAACGCCCTCGATGAGTTCGCGGAAGAGCACTCGGTGCATGTTGAACAAGAAGAGCGATTGCATATGACCAACGAGATGGATTCCAGCGACGCCCTTGGGTAGATCATGGATGAAATGGCGGTTCTTTGCGTCTCGCTGTACGTTGAAGTGCTGGCTGAAAGTCACATCCCCCATGATATCGGCGATGACATAGGCAACCGCGTGGCCCATATCTTTGCTGGGTCCCCATCCAGATTCCGTCCCTGTCTTGTCGATCGCTTCGTCAATCTGAGCAACGAGGAGATCTACATGTGGTGTGACTCGCTTCTCGAGAGATTTTATCGCCGCTGGCGTGAGCGCAGACGCGTTGACCCTTCGTCGAAAAGCATGCGCTTTGTGGTCGACGGTCGTGAGAGACATCTCAGCGCCAAAAAAGCGCTTGAAGGAGCTATATGCGTTGGATTTGAAGGTATTGGAATGTGCACTGTGCAAATCTCGAGAAGCTGCCCCCGAGTTTAGCGAGACTCGATTGGGGCCAAATCTGACATATTTTCCTGTTTGGTATAGTGTCAGCCAGTTGCCCTCGTCTGTGAGCCCAGGTCCCCAAGAGAGACCAGTGTGTGCCTCAACCTGAAGAGTCAACTCTTACCATGTTTTTTGTGTTGTTTGTGGAATTCCAAATGGCGACTTCCATTTGCGATCCAATACACAGTATACCAGTCTGTACAGGCGGCTAACAGAGGTCCCGGGTATTTGGCGAGTGGATGCAGAGCAAGTCTATAAAGGAGACCCAAAGCCACCTGCGAAGATTACCCAAGTCAGTTTCCCTTCACACCTGGTCTGTCTCGTGGGTTCAACTCACATATTCGGCGCAGCTTAACAATGCCAATATGACATATGTACCTAGACTTCGTGGCTGGTCGGAAAGTAGCCGTGATGCAAATACAGAGGCCAAAAGAGCTGACGTGCAGCCCAAGCCAGAGACTGCAAATACATGAGCAACCATTCTCGAGCGTCGAGGGACAATTTGCCGTGAGTTGGTAATGGTTGTTGATGGGCAACTGATTTGCCAGCAAAAAGAAGCAGCCAGGTCAAGTTGGCAGCTGGATCATCTCGGAATTTCGAAGAATGCACCTGCTTTCTATTGACTCCAAGTCAGACAGCATCATGCAAGGTTCAAAGCAAGATAGGGGTAGTTCTAGGCGGACTTTTGGCATCGACCATACTAAAACACCCCGAGAGTTGCCCTTGCTACCGTTTCTTGAGCGCTTCCAAATGTATTTTAGGGTGCGCCAGAACTCGGGGTGGACTTTTGGCATTTGCCTTAAGTCGGGCCCTTCTTATGGCACTTGCAGCATGGAATTTAAGGGCAGCCGCAAGCTCCTATACCAGTTTAAACCTTGCAAGTTCGTACAAAGTTTTGACGGTAATTTCTCCACGATAAGATGTAGGTGGGTACAAAGGAGGACACCTACTATAGACTAGACAAAATTAGGTCTCTCTACTTTTACACTTTAAACTATAATTTAATACTATAATAGAACATTTAAAATAAGTTTTAATAGACTAAAATATACGCTATAATAAGCTATATAAAATATACCTAATAGTTCTCCTTAATAAAGTTAATATAAAAGATAAAGCTTATATTTCTAACGTTTTAATATATAACTAATATTTTTATAACGTTTAATTCCTATTGGAGTTATATATATAAACATTAGTAGGATTTATTTAAATATTCTTATAAATATAATTTAACCCTTAAGGTTAATTGGTATAATAAGCTAGGGTTTATTTTAATAAATAATAAGCTAAATAGTTTAGAATTAAGAATTAATATTAGATTCATATTTTCATTAATTTAACGTATTCTACCTATTAAAGAAAGTATCTATATACCTGATTTAAGTATTTTATTCCTTAGGGACGAGAAGTTGGTTTTAGGTGTTTAACTCCTCCCTAGTACTAGTAATTGTTAAAATCCGCTTTACGAAGTACCTTCTAGAAGCATACGAAGTAGCAATGGTAATGTTCGTCCCAGATCTAGCAAACGTAAAACTTCTGCGAAGATTTTACCCTGTACTCCACTGAAACATCCTTGGCCTACAAAGCTTTAAGGTTCATCGAAGTATGCCTGGACCATGGGACGAGGTAAATGACTTCGTGGTTCGTATTTTTATCCTGTACCCCACTAACAGTTAGCCGAGTCGGCCCAACCGGTTTTGACCCTAGCCCAAAATCGCAACTCATGCTTCAATTCTGCAGCTACGAAGTAATGTGCAAATCTGCCAAATCAGGGCTCTGTTTCGAATCTGATATCTCGTACACCGTATGCCTGAGACGAACTACGAAGTAATAAAAGTTAAGTTTACGGGGGGTGTTCAGTGGAGTACCGGGTATAAGCCAAGCAAGCTCAACATTGGTTACTGGTACATTTACGCCTGGGACGAAGCAAGACCCGCTAGTTTTTCGCGATCGGAACTTCACAAGTATTTGGGAAATGAAGAATGCCCAGGCAATGGATTTCTGTTTTGCCTCGTACTCGTAATTCATTCTTGGAAGGAACTGAGCAGTTACGAAGTATTTTCTTTCCAGTTGTTATACCGAGAGTCCTTCATCCTAATTTACAGTAACCGTTGACTTGCAGTGAGAAAACTCAGCTCGCCTTAGGATCATTACCCTTGTGAGCACTTAGTCAAGACTTTGTCAAGACCTGGTCAACAATGAAGCATCCAGGGTGTCTCAGTTCAAGCTTGCAAGACAAAAACCTAGAGGCGATGTTAGTTTATATACCTAGAATACATGCCTTGCCCGTCCGTAGACTTCCTGTAGTTGTGTTGTGCGTAAGTGCGCATGTCATTTCAGTACCGTTGCTGCAACAGTGCCGAGTGAACTAAAAAAGATCATATATAGAATGCGGGAGACCCAATTCCAAATCGGACAAGACTTCTATGCTTGGTTTCTACACTCTCCTTGAATGTTTATTATTTTCTTAATCTCTTCTCATTACCTCCGTCATCATGAATTTCCAGAACAAAGTTGAAAATACCAACTTTGATGGCATTCATCAAGAGGTAAGAAGTCTCGGCCGCTACCTTCTAGCATACTTGAGTGTACTTGGATCTTTACTGAAGTTGATAAAGGCACGTAGAACAATATGGTTCCATTTATATACCTTATTCCTGTTCACCAAATCGGACTTCAAGACCGTCATATTCCCACAATGCGTATTCGCCCTCTCCTTCGCCTACTCTCACACACAATCTGGCACAAGCCTTGCATTCGGTGAGATCTTCAAATGGCGATTTCCATACATGCTCGTCTGGATCTGGGTTCATCTACTTGTAGAGAATGTCGCGAACCAACGACTCCCTGGATCAGTGGTAGAGGATACAGAGAACAAACCGTGGAGGCCATTGCCATCAGGCCGAATCACACCGGATGAAGCCCAGAGTCTCCTTCGAATACTTGTCTGTGTAGCACTAGCTATCAGCGTCCTTCTCGGCAGTTTCGAAGCCAGCATTACGCTCATGACTTGCATCTGGCTTTACAATGATCTCGATGGCAGTGGGGCCGGTCCTTGGCAGCGAAACCTCCTCAACGCTGCGGGACTATCATGTTTTGGGTGGGGTGCTGTTGCGGTATTGTTCTCTGGCGATGGGTTCCCAAAGGATTTGCTCTGGAAATGGTTGTCCCTACTCGCCGCTGTGATCACCACCACGGTGCATGCTCAGGATTTTCCTGATGTGGAAGGAGATGCTAAATCCGGGAGGAAGACCATGCCACTGTACTACGGCCAACGACCTTCACGATATGGGCTTGCCATACTTTTACTCCTGTGGTCTGTGGCCTGCCCGGCATTCTGGCATGTCAATTTGCTGGTTGGAGCAGCTCCACTTTTCATGGGTATCGGGATGGCTGGGATGACAGCATTTAGATGTGACATCTTTTACGATGCCATTGTGTGGAGATGTTGGTGTCTTTGGACTGGTGTTTTGTATCTTCTCCCCCTTTTTGCATCAGCGAGAGCTTGAGAGCGGGGCTTGGCAGTTTTAGATATGCCCGCGGTCATTAAATTTCCCATTCCTTACTCAGTACGTTTCTCATAGCGATTTCCTGATTGTTTTATGTGCCCCAATCTTGCTCAAAGAGATTTGTGACTTGCAAGTGCGTGGTTCGTGGGCCCATGGTGGAAAAACAATTTTGTGACGAGTTTCTTCAAACTCAGTTGCGAAATGTGCTGTTGTGTATTCATCCCACATATGTCCGTGAGACACAGCGCCTTGCTAAGTATATGCAGCCCACTTCCAAAGTGACACATCAGTGGGAGCACAATTGGTGTTTGGGTTCAATTATCCCAGTGAGGTCGTTCCGGGCCTAATGAACTTTAAAGGTAATAAGGTTTACATGGGAACTTTCAATGGATCTCCACTAAACTTTCAAAAAGGGTTGACAGCGAAGTACTTAGTACAGTTGTACATTGTAAGAGCCACAGGTATACGTGGATCATATCAAAACCTACAATCAGAGTCTTTTTTATGCCGTTTTTGGGATAACTTTAACTTCATAAGCAGTCTATTTGTAACACGCGTTCTATTGGCCGAGAACCGATATTTTTAGCTAAGACATAACTGAGCCCTATAATAGTAGACCTATCATGGGGCGTCGATCCTATTATGAACTACCGTGATACTTCGTAAAATTCTTCGGCGAAGGCCTTCTTTTCATGCGGGAAGATCTTAGTCGAACTTCACTATGAAGGTTCCGTAGAAAGCAGATCAAGCGAGAATCCCAGCCAACTTAGTGTGTGCATCACAGAGCCCGATGTTACTGCAACGTTTCTGGGACTCAAGGGTATGCACATGGTGCAGAAGTGGTGTTCATACTTCGAAGGACGAGTGCACCTAAACAGCAACTGCATGAGCCCCACCAATGGCTCTTGAAGGTGCACGTGAATAGGTTTTGTGCAATGGCATTTATCTTTGAGGGTATCGAACTCCGACCAACAAACGAGACACCCATTCCATCACTTATCAAATTCAGGCCCTCGCAACTTCTCAATTGAAAGCTTTAGATCCATCCTTATCAAACACCAAAATGGCACAAACATCGGCTCCTCAAACTTGGCTCATCACTGGATGCTCATCCGGATTTGGCGAGGAATTCGTTCGTCAGCTACGTGCTGCCGGAGACAATGTCATTGCAACAGGACGTAATGCCTCAACCAAGCTCGCACATTTGAAAGAGACGGGTGCCTCTATTCTAGATCTCGATGTCACCGCTTCCCCCGAAGAAATCACATCTAAGATGGCTGAGGCCTGGAACTTGTATCCAGATGGCATTGACGTTGTTGTAAACAATGCTGGCTATATCTTGAGTGGTGCATTTGAGGAATTGAGGTTAATCCGGCTGCAACCCTTCTTTTGGTTCACGAAAAACTGACTTTGGAGATATTAGACAGGAGGACCTTGAGACGTCTTTCAAGACCAATTTCCACGGTCCACTTAACATCACTCGGGCCTTACTCCCGAAGCTACGTGCTAAAGGGACTGGGACACTCTTTTATATGAGTTCTCAGGCGGCGTGGCATAGTGATCCTAGTGCCACAGCATACTGCTCAAGCAAATTCGCTCTAGAAGGTGTGTATCCCTTTCTGTTTTTACCAGCTTACTTCTCGTCGAATGGCCCACTGAAAACTTACAACAATTTAGGAGCCGTGGAGTGCTTGTCTAAAGAACTGGCAATCTTCGCACCGAAAATCAAGGTTCTCCTCCTTGAGCCTGGATATTTCCGCACACAAGCCTTTTCCAACATCAGACACGTGCCTGATCGAGTGGATATTTACGCTCAATTCAATGCTGGTGTAAAGCAGTTTGAACAGAGCGTTGTTGGAAACGAGCCTGGTGACTCCAAAAAGGCAATTGAGATTATGATTGATCTTGTTAAGGGTACCGGAGTCGCAGCTGGCAAAGAGATTATTCCCTTGCGAGTGCCATTGGGAAGCGATGGTTTGGAGAGAATCAAAGCTAAGTGTCGGGAAACATTGAAGATATGTGAAGATTGGGAGGAAGTGGCCAAAAGTACGGATATTAAGCCAGCTGCATAAAGCATTGGTTTTCTACAATATGCGACAATTATGCTGTTTTAAAAGAGGAGTTTTATTATTTGTCATTCCCAAAAGCCTCTAATGATAACATGTTCTCATTTCCTCGCGTGTGTTGCTGTATTATTTTGCATCAGTAGCGACTTTTTCTCGCTTGCAAACCCAACCCTACTGTAAGTGTTATAAATGCGGACTTCTATACGAGCGCAAAAACAATCTTATTCTTTACCAATCTTCCACACCCTCGGAAGATAATATTTAAACGGTATATAACGACCATTTTTCTTCTGATTTGTGAAAGTTATCTCAATGTTCAGGAGTCATCTCCAATAATATGAATGTGATATTTCAAAGAACAAACCGGTCCGTCTGTCATCATTCATCAATCCCCAATCCACCGAGAAGTTCTCTTACGACTTTTTTTAGAACGTCTTCCACGAAGGGTTTCTCATAAAAGCTCTGGTTGAAAGAGGCACCAACATGTAAATTTTCTTTCCAGCTCCACACATGAAACTGAACACTTCTGTTGAGCATCTCGGTAGCCAGCCACATACTAGTTACCTTGATTTTCGGGGCCTCGGGACTAGCTTGGTATTCACTTTGCAAGTGTTGTCCCACTTTCCCGAGACCGCTTAGATCAGGAGTTTGGGTTGGTGGAAAATCCTGTGGCACAGGAGCCGTAAAGAGAGCTGTTGTTCTCGTTAAATATGGCTCTGCCAACTGAAGCATGCTAACTGATTCGCCACTGGGAGTCTTCCAGAAGTCCTCCAGGTCTCGATTATACACCGTCGTCATTTCTCGGGCCAGCTCTTGAAATCCCTTGGCAGCAGCATTTTCCAGGCATATAGGGAGTCCGGAAAAGTAAAGTCCAAAGAGTAGCTCCTGGTGAGGCAGAGACGTGACGGCGGTGATGGACTTGCGTAGGTCCACGGGGAAGAAGGCAGCGTATGCTTTGGAGAGCGGATGCTGAGGAAAGGCAGCCGTCACTCGTACGATGGCAGCATGCACGGCGCCGGTAAAGCTGAATCCGTGGTCTCGACGAGAATTGATGACCTGGGTCGTCTGACGAGCATTGAGAATCACCTCAGCGCGCGCACTGGAGCCGGGAAGAGCTTGTTCCGAATGTGGTGTTGTGGGTAGACCAATGCTCGGAACGCCCTTGAAGAATTCGGCCATGAGAGCATCGGCACCCACGTCCAGTATTTGCGGATCCGTCTTCGTCTTCTTCGTCGCAAGCAATTCCACATTTTGTGGTAGCGGGGTGGGCGTGGCGAGGAGACCCCGAAGACCCCCGGAAAAGGGAAAAGCATGATCTGGTCCGTGTTGCAAGACTTCTGCGAAGGCGCTCAAGAAAATTGAACTGATCCCGAGTACGCCAATCCCATCCAGACGCCAGTGAGAGGATCGGATGACGAGCTCAGAAGACCTCGGTAGCCAATAGCACATGGTGAAAGCGGATGGACGAAGCGTGGCAAAGAGCGCGTTGGCATCTTCATGGTCTCGTTCCACCCGAAACGTCTCCTTCATCCAGCTTTCCGCGTCAAAAGGCGTCACGACATATAAATCATTCGAAGGTTTTGCGTCGTCATCTTTACGAGCAGGGCTGACGGTGGAACGAATGGCGGGGTGTTGATGGGCAACGATCTGCCAGGCCTTTCGTAGGTGCGCTTCCGGATCTGCGACTTCAACGTCGAGACGCAATGCCAGATGGACAGCCCAATGTTCATGTTGAAGGGGCGCACCTAAATCTGCGAGCTTTTTGAAGAAGATTTCCAAGTTACCCAGTGGTCGCGAAAGGGTACCCGCGGGCAATGGAGCGTCTGGGGTCATCATTTTTCAGTCTTTTAGATGAATGAGATGGAATACAGGTAGGCTGCTAACATGGAGAGATTTATGACGAGACTGAAGGGAGGAAGGGAAAGTCAGATCTCATAAGAACCGTGGAATGGACATTGGGAGGAGCAAGTGAAAAGGTTCATATTCCTTCGCTAGCCGTATTTTTCTTCTCTTTCTGCATTGCTTGGGGATTGATTGACAAGGGTTGGACACCCCATGTTTATTCAAAGCAAAATGCCCGTGGAAAAGGTCGTGCGCCTCCTTGACAACCCTTAGGAAGCGCCTCCTCGCTATTTGACTGGTACTTAGTAAGGAATGTGGGGCATAGTTCAACCGAATCACTTCGCCGTTTCAATATAAACGAGACTCATCTATCTGCTGCATATCTGTATATGAGTGAGTAATAGGAATATAATCACGCCGGTTTGGTATAAACACACTAGATAATTACTTAATGTTATATTTTTCAAGTGAGATAGTGACTTAGATATGATTAGAAGCTCCAAAGCAAATAGAGATAGTAGTATAATATAAATAGGAGGTCAGTGGAGTTCGGAACAGTGTGAGCTGGAGGCTCCTCTTCAGAAGGCTTTGTTCGCATACATAATTTACGTCTAGACAGTAGTTTAATATGCGAGAGTTTCTTGTTGTGTGGCGTTTCTTCTCCGGGGCCCATAGAAAGCTGTTCTCGAAGTGGCCCCAAAGTACGAAGTAGTCTTGCCAACTTCTGCCAATATACCCACATTCTCACCCATTTCTTCTTCCTCGTAAAGTAGAAGTACGAGGTACGAAGTAACATTGATTCACTTGGTACTTCTACCACGGTACATTGTCCTAGGCAAAACAATGAGTGGCTAAGGTCAACAACATGGTAAACATCCCGGTCAAGGTTACATTTATTTCACCTAGGACAAATAAACCAAGAGCCTTGGAGCTACTCTAATTCTTTAAAGCACAGAAAGTGGATTATTGATGTTGGTAGTTTGGAATCCAAGAGTTCCTACCGCACTACCCCGCCGTTCGTCCCCTTAAACGAAAGGTTATGTCGTGTAATGTGGATACATTTTGTGGTACCTGGCAAAGTCTATTTTGGCCAATTCGAACCACGCTAATTATAGTAAAGTAGAGTCAAGTAAAAAAGCCAAGAGAATCAAATCAACCCGATTACATATACTAAAGAATGATTACTGTAGTGGAAAACAGAGTATGCAACTCCCCTAGAAACTGCAAAAAAAATACTTCATTGTAGACTAAATAAACGTAAAATCTACTGGACATTTTACCCTATACTCCACAGAGACGCCCATGTAAACGGTACCATTTCTGACACTCAAAAGTACTTGTAGTACTTCTACTTCATAGATATAAATCTTTGCTACTTGCCTTTACAGGAAGGTGTTAGAAACTATACTAAACGATGCATCATCTCCAAAGCTTATTATAGATCGTAGAACTACGATGTACTTTGAACTTGCCTTATCAGATATCTAGGTAATGTCCGATACCTCTATGGGTAGAGTTAACTATATCTAGATTAATGCGCCATATAATTTACTTCGTAGTCTCGACTCTCGTTACCCTACCGTGGTAAATTGGAAAATGGGTGGATGTTATACGGTAGAGGGGTGGTGGTTGTTCTTCGTGCGCTCCGAGCCACTCGGAGTCTGCGCGAGTCTGCCGCGACGGAGTGTCGGAACATCGTAGTAGTAGATCCTTCAAAAGCATGATAACCATATGCCAAAATCATTCCGAGTGGCTCGGGACGAGAAGACGTATCCACCAACCCCCGCCCACCCCTCCTCCTCTCCCTTTACCACATCCACCCATTTTCGTTCAGGACGATTTACCACGGTCGTAGGTATTGAGTTGATATTGATGTTAATGTCTATATATATAAAACTTAGCTAATTATAAGTAGAACGGCTTCACTTTGTCGAACTCAAGTCATTACGGTAGTAGAAATGTGCTTTTATGGATATTACCTAGAGATATTATCAACAGTTTAACTCTTTGTATCGAGGGTTAACAATACTTGGTATGCGAAACGCACTTGCACAAGGATACCCAATACTACTTCGTACTTCGTAACTCGCAAAACCAAATCTTGCATTTTAATCCCGGTGCCTACTTTCCTTGCCACAGTACTGTACCAGGTTAATAATCCTACGACCTTATAACCCACACGTTGAATCCAGACTGAGCTTGGTACAGGGAGTGCATAGGAGTTGTAGTCCCCGACCAATCAGGGAGAGGGGACAGAAAAGTCTAAACTCCATAAGACCAAAGCTGCCCCATGGTGAACGATAGAATTCCTACACCATTTCCTTCTTGTTAACTGACACTCCCCGCCGACGATACTCATTGTATCAAGAGTAACTGCCTGGTCCCAATCTGAAATGCTCTGTTGATAAATTTCTTCAAAATGGCGAACATTCCGACACCGGCACAACTGGCTTATTTCGCTGCTCACCCCCACGACAATCTTGTACCAGACATCATTGCTTGCTGTTCAGTATGTGGCATTGCAGCCGTGGTCTTCATTCTTTTGCGCCTATGGGCCAGACATCTTATACATGGCCGTGTGGTTGTAAATATGAGTGATTGGCTCCTCATCATAGCTTTTGTATGTATTGAATTCTCTGCAGCAGCAACTCTCAGCTAACCTTCGCATCAACAGATTTTCTTTGCTGTGTTCGACATATGTTTTGCCTTGACCACCAAATATGGAAGTGGGAGGCACATTATCTACATTACCGACGCTAGGATGTTACAGATTGTAAGTCAAGAACCCGAGCTCTCTAGAAGCTGCGCATTTCCTGCCTGCCGTGTGTTGCTAACTTGTTGTCACCCCTCTGTAGCTCAACATCGTAGACGAAAACACATATTGTTACGCCATGGCCTTTATCAAGCTCAGTATTCTGAAGGTGTATGGAGACATCTTCCCTTCGAAAAAATTTCATTACTGTTTGTGGGCGATGGCCATTTTCATGGGCGCGTGGGCTATTACGTTTTCGGCGTCGGCTATCTTTCAATGTACGCCCATCGAGTATAATTGGGACCTTACCATCCCCGGGGGGTTTTGTATAAATTATGGTGCCAATGTCATGGCGGCTGGTATACTGAATATCTTTACCGACTTGATCATTCTTGTTATGCCCATACCCTTGGTCTTGAAGCTTCATACGTCCACACAGAAGAAGCTCCAAATCATCTTTGCTTTCGCATTGGGTAGCAGGTAAGCTACTAATTATCCTATTCCATTGGACGTAAACCTAACCTTTCTAGTGCTTGTATTATTAGTTTCATCCGACTTGGATACGGATCCAAAGTTGGAAGCACAGCCGATGGAAGCTGTAAGTCTATGAACTTCGTTGCTTCTTCCTCGTCGCAGCTTCGCTAATTCGTTTTAGGGGACAACATTCCTGCCGGATTAGCATCTGTCGCAGAACTCATGATAGGCATACTTGCGGCCTCAATTCCAACTTACCGGCCCATATATCGCAGATTTATGAATGGTTCGGCGATGGCACAGACACAAGCGGGATACAACAGCGATCGTCAAAATTACGGGAATGACTCGTCGATGAACAAAAGTACATTAAGACGGGTCCAGATATTCTCGCAGCATGATAATGAACCTCGAGAGAAAGGGGAAGGAATTCATATCGCTCATCAAGTAGAAATGAGTGTTTATGATTCGAAGGAAGAGGATTGGGATAAGAAAAGGAGACGGCAGAGTGACGAGGAAAGGCTTACATGAGGAATCTGTATCCGGTGTTTCATAAGTTAGAGTTAGGCAGTGTACCAATAGTTGGCTCTTGAACGTATGTTAAAATAAAATGTTTAAATATTCGAAACTTTGTAACTAGGCTTCATGTAAACCAGGTTTAATAATAAAGATAAGATTAAATGGGTATAATACTTGGATATACCTGTATAGTTACCTTAGTACCTTGGTTACTAAGTTTCTACTCGTTTTCTCTCCTAGTGCTTGGTAAAGAGAACATATTTTCAGAAATCTAGCGATTCTATTCCATATAGAATAATTCTAAAGCATGCAGGGTTAGGGTTAGGGTTAGGGTTAGGGTTAGGGTTAGGGTTAGGGTTAGGGTTAGGGTTAGGGTTAGGGTTAGGGTTAGGGT